CACAAAGGCAAGGCATGGAAAAGAGTGATCACAAGGATATCTATGGTAACAGCTGTAGAAATCAATGGCTCAGTTAAAAGGAATTTATAAATAAATGTTATTTCAATTCCAGCATTTTTGTTGCCATTACACTGTCACAGGCACAGCACAAAATTGTCACTATCTGCGTTTAACCCATTCCCTTAGAGAGCAATGGGCTGCCATTTGCAGCACCCAGGGAGCAGAGTGGGGTTAAGGGTCTTTGTTCAGGGACCCAGAGTGGCAGTCTGTGGGAGTGGGTTCTGAACTCACAACCTCGGGATTCTAAGCTCTATGCCCTAACATATAGGCACACACAATACATTTCACTTCAAAGTTGTTTTGCAAGTTTCTTCTACAGACCTGTTAGCACTAGCATGGCCAGAAACATCATTGCTTTGGTTTTGGGCTATCAGCTCAGAGGGCTTTTTATATAAATGCTGAGGGAGCATCAAACAGCCAGGTAAACAGTGTTTTTGTATTGGTAGCTCTCACCTCTAATGTGATTAATTCCCTTGTAAAGCTATCGACCACTAAGCTGCCTATGGAGGTGAAACAGCTGCACACCTAAATCAATACCACTTTTCATATAAAAGGAAATGGATATGGATATGCATCTGGTTTTAAAACACCCGGACTGCACCTCTGTTGCAAAAACAGGTAGTAAATTTCTTTTTTTTTAATTCTTTTTAATCTAATTTATTCTTTTTAATCTGATTTAATTTAATCTGTACACATATCCTTCAGGAAAAAATAAATCATAATAATTAATAGGTCAAACTTTATGAAAATATTTTTTTCTTTTTTAGGCACTCAGCAGCGCTGCTGCTCCTAAGAACAGTTTGAATTCACCTCTTGACCTCTATGGTGGCATACGCTTGTTTTTTAGAAGGCTCACTCTGACCCAGGATGCCTCCTCCACACAGTGCAGGTGGTCGGAGTCAGAACGGATGTTAACAACTACCATAACTTTTGGACAATGTTTAACACCCAATGCAAAAAGCTGTTACAGTCCTCCTTCAGTACAGGTCTCCAAACATGCAGCATAAGCATTTACATCCTTCCTATTATTAGCAACGTTTTTTTTTATTTATTCTATAGATGGCTTGTTGTTTTTCTTTTTACATTGGACAATTCTCATTTAATCTAAGTATGCATTTTTCATTAACTGCATTATAGTTAATTTGTTTTAGGTTAATTTGGTTATTTATAATTGTTTATATTTATTATTATTAAATATTTTTTTCCTTTATATACATATAATTCTCTTCTGTTCCCTTTCTTTGTGACTCACTAATATCAACTTAAAAGTATGGTGGCAGCAGCTGATGTTGCTTTTGGGATATTGCTCAGATCTCAATTGAAATTGTCTAAACTACTTGTTTATTCTTTACATTATCTGTGCACACATGCAGAATATGTCTCTTCTGAAATTAGGATGTCATAGCTCCTCCTCTCTTTGTAACCCTCTTTCCTGCCATCATGCTCTTTACCTTGCATGAATTGTTAGTGTGTTGCTGTGGCCTCAAACCAACTGGCCTTGAATACATATTTCAGCATTCTCATTGGCAAAACCAGCACTGGAAACTGTTGTATTTCGACCGGGCCTTATGGGGGTTTGCATTTGTAAAGACATTTGGATACATTTTTACAAATCACTCAGTGAGTCTGTATTAAGGTATGACATCAAGTGTTAATCAAGACAGCTAGAAAGATTATGGCTACACCAGGTTCTCTTAAAAACAGACTACCGTACCTTCAGATCAGCCCACAGTTTTTTATTATTATTATGATACTAATGGAAAAAATACAGTTTTCTTCTGAAAACAAACACATTAAAAAAAGTTTTTCATTCTCTCACCAGTTAAACGTATTAACCAGCATTTCTTATGAGATTCAGGAAACCTGTAATACCACACAGATCATTCGTTTGACGCTTAGTTTGTCTTTATGTTTGGTTCTGTGATCATGGATGCAAAGATTTAAGAGGAACATAGGCTGTTCTAGTTCTCTTTAGAGCAGGTGGATACTGTTTTACCTGCTTTTGTGGTTTTACAATTAACCCTTTAGTAACATGTTTTTAGTAAATAATTTTTCAAATACTTGCTACTTTTTTAAGGAACTGTTTTAATTACTTCGTCCTTATCCAGATGAAGCTAACCCATTACGTAGATAACAGGCATGTCTTGAAGACATAAAAACCTGGATGACTCTTAACCTTCTGCTACTGAATGCAGACAAAACAGAAGTTATAGTCTTTGGACCAGAGTCTTTGAAAAATAAACTGATTAGTCAGTCACTTCATTTGGATGGGATTAAACTGATTTCAGATAATAAAGTAAAATATATTATTATTCATTATAATTTTTGATCAGGACCTGTCATTTAAATCCCGTATCAAAGAGGTTTCTTGAATTTCCTTTTTTCATCTGCGGAATATTGCAAAAATTAGAAATCTCCTGTCCAGGGGTGATGCTGAGAAACTAGTCCATGCATTTGTTACTTCAAGGCTGGACTATTGTAATTCTTTACTATCAGGAAGTCCACAAACGGTAGTTAAAAGCCTTCATCTGATCCAAAATGCTGCAGCCAGTTCTGATGAAAATTAAAAAGAGAGATCATATCCAGTGGCGGCTGGTGAAAAATATTTTTGGTGGGGCTGATATAGCCTAGTGTATGTCTCCAACTAACCCGGAATAAGAATTCAAATAAACAATTGGACAATACATACAATTTAACAGTAATGATTTAATTTACTATATAATAACAGTAACAGTGATGATTTGGGTCACTGTGATGGGGTTCTTTGGCCTCCAAGAATCCAGTCTCAGTCGGGTTACCGGTGTTGGTGATTTATTGAGCTCAAAAACTCAAAACAGGGTGCAAAAGAAACTAAACATATACAAGATACTCTGGGCCTCAGCCTCCCTCCAGTTACCAGCAATGTAACAAAGAAACAGAAAACAAAAATTGCCGCTTTTCTTCCCACAGCCCTCATTAAATAGTTTAAGCCCCTCACCTCAGGCTCTCTTATTTCTGATTTCTTCTCATTAATCAGTTTTGTCCATATATTACCTCCACAAACAATTGATGTACAAAAACAAATAATTTTTACAACTTAATTCTTTTACACAGATTCATTGACTTATTCAATTACACCAAACTGGGTTTGAACCCAGCAAAGACGCAGCCAGACTGAAGATGACAAGTCCCCGCATAAACACGTACACACCCACACCCCCCACATACCCACACACACACACACACACACACACACACACACACACACACACACACACACACACACACACACACACACACGGCTAACCCCACTGAAATATTAAGTGTGCACCCTCAATACGCCAGCAGGTAACCAGGACAGCTTGTGTGTTTTAAGTTAATAGAGCTACTGATCTCAGCGCGAGTGTATTGGTCCTCACAAACACAGTATAACAGGAATGTGTATGTGGCGCGCAAAGTTAGAGAGGTTGTTTTAAGCGACGAGGTGGATTCGTCACAGTCACAATAACCATGAAATGAAATGTTCATATCATACAACAGGGATGTTCTTCTGGCAAACGGGTAGATAAATAAGGATCTCACCGAATTTGGTGGAAGCTGCATCTCGCTCGTTACATTCGCCATCTTCCCTCTAATTGTCTGCACCTGCGCTTGGGTTCAGAAGAGAAGCCTGTAAAAGCGCAGTATTTTCAGCGCCCCAATACCATAAAGTTCCGAGACGCTGATTGGCCATTAAATTCACCTAGCAATAGTACATGATTGACAGATTCTCTGCAAATGTGGGTCAGTCTGATCAGCGCCCCCAGAACAGAGACGGTAGGAGTCTGTCTGTGGAAATCCACAAATTAATGACAGTAGATAGGGAAATGTAGTTTATATAATTTGTTTTGCTTATAGTTACACAGTCTAGAGAGTAAAACAGACATTTATGAGTTAATTTCTAAAAATATATTTTACGTTTCTCTCTTCTTATCAGGGAGGGCGGTGCCCCAGCGCCCCCTATGGGCCGGCCGCCACTGATCATATCTCTCCTATACTAGCTTCTCTTCATTGGCTTCCTGTTAGATCAAGAATAGAATTTAAAATCCTTATATCTTTATATCAGAGATCTGATTCCTTCTTATGTTCCTAACAGAACACTTCAATCTCATCTGCAGGTTTACTAGTGGTTCCAAGAATTTCTAAAAGTAGAATGGGAGGCAGATCTTTTAGTTATCAGGCTCCTCTCCTGTGGAACCGACTACCAGTTTGAGTCCATGAGGCAGACCAACAACAGCAGATTCATTCTGATGTATCTGATCATTTTCATTATGGCCACTGAGCTTACACACTCCTGAATTAATCAGTCTTCCCACTAATGAAAGACAGGAAACAAAGGAATTGGCAAAAGTTCAGGAAGTAGTGGAGTTGGGCATTTAGCCCATTTTCTATCCACTTCTGAATTCAAAATTATTCACCATGTTTTGTTGGTCTGTTTTGCTGTTTTTTGTTTTGTTTTTTTGTTTTTTTTGCTCAAATAACTCATTATGTTCTGTTGTTATCTACATTGGAAAACATAAAAGTTCAATCGATGAAAAACCGTACAATATAAAAATAATTGACTTCTGTGGTCATTTAAGTCACACAATTATACAATCAAAAGAATAATACAAATTACAGTTAAGAATTAAATAAAAGAATAAACCTCCTTGTGTGTGTTTTTTTATTTATTTTTACATATTATGTAATATTTGAAGAAAAAAAAAAATCCTATAACCAGAAGCAAATTTTCTTTACAAATGAGGCCTGCATGAAAAATTAATCTAACAGCCAGGTCTAAGCCAAGGTCTAACACTGATGTAACCCATGTGGATGATGGACCTTGTGATGTTTTTTTTCCGGGGGTCCCTGACAGCCCCCTCCTCAGGAAACCCTCGCATCACCATTGGGTGGTGCAAGAAGGCGCGCAGCTTCCCAGGCAGCCTGAGCAGCTTGTGCGCATGTTTTCATAGACTAACGGGGCAGGTCTTCATCGCTGCATGGACTGATGCTCATTTGGAAGAATCGACGGTTCGAAAAATAGAATCCAAACCAGAAAAAGGGCATAAAGCAGAGGACATCATGGGGAAAGTGCAGGGCGGGATGAAATGTGTGAAATATCTGCTCTTCGGCTTCAACTTCATCTTCTGGGTGAGTCCGAGCTGAAAATGGAATTATGATACATTGTTGTTGATATTGAACACTCGGATGTGCGCGAATTCTGATCCTTTCTATTTATTTATTTTTTCCTGTGTATATAAATAGTTATTACTTAGATTACAGTAAAGATGATAATAAAGCTGCGCGCTTTTCCAGCAAAATAAGCAGATTTTTGAGAGGAGAAAAAATGCTGCTGGTGCGACTGTAATCTGCTTCATCTCGCAGTGGTGTTTACATGTTAAATATTACAGCACGCCATAATGTGCACATTTTATATTGGGTTTATAATGGGGGCATTAAGAATTTTAAAGTGATAATTTTTTTTACAGACTGCTCTTTTGCACCTGTTCAGTCCACACAGACCCTATACATCTGCACCACTTTCCTAAAAATCTTAAAACACAAACATCAATGTAATTCTGTTTTTTTTTCATGCATTTTAAAGTGGTTACAATTATTTGTTTGTTAGAGATGATTTCATATATAAAATCTGTTTCAAATTATTGATATTTAATCTAAAGCAAGTGATTTATTCTGCAGGAAATAGGCTCCTGCAGTTTAAATCAGAGCTGCACTCTGCTAATTTAATTGTACAAGTCACACCCAGGTTTGATTACTACTTTGAAGAATGAAGCAATCCATTAATCGAATATTTATTTCCTCTTCAAACTTATTTATTTGTTTTACCCCACTTCATGTCAGACACATGGTGCTAAAGAATCTCAGAAAGCAGCAAATCCTGCTCCAACAAAAAAAACAACAAAGGAACAGATCAAAGCAAAGACATTTATTAGAGTAAAACCCTTTTTACATTATTAATATGTTGTTTAAAATGAAATGCAAAAAGGAAAATAAATAAAAGAATGTTTTCATATTAGGGCTTCCTAGATAGAAAAGCATTTTTCTGTTTTCCTTTCATATATTTTCAATCTTGTGCCACAATCTGAATTTTTGTTGGAATCGATTACTATTCATTAGGTTATGTCCTTGTTTTAAATGGAATTGATCTACTATTAGCTGTAATGTTAGACTAGAGCTACATTTCATTTGCTGCTTGTTGGAAGAGGTAAATCAATACAGATAAGAAAGCAAAAGCCTGTTTTGGTTGTGAGCTGTGTGTACTGATGCTTTACTGTTAAATGATACAGTATGTATGAGTTAAAGAGGCAGCATTGACTGCTCTGTAAGATGATCTCTTGTCTCAACTCAAACTGACAGCAACCTCTTTGTTTTTGTCGTTTTGGGACAGAAAGGAGAGCTCTTGTGATTGGAGCCAAAAGAGGCGTACAGTGCATTGTCATTTTGGGGTACAGAGCCAACATGCAGCCAATGCCAACGTGAGTTACATCACCAAGGCACTGTGAGGCTGGCACAACCAGTGGCTGAAGTGCATCCTGGGAGATTGCCCCCTGATCTTCTTGTTCTGATATAATAGTCCATGTAGGCATGTGAGATTCTGCCTCTAAAAGAGTCAGAAGAAAGAAAAGCAAAAGGCACAAACTGAAACATAAAAGATTACAATGTACAAAGTGTGTTTTTAAGATAAAAATCGTTTTTCATCCATATATTTTGATCGCTCAATGCTTTGATGATCACACATTTAGGATTTCTCTTTAGGATTACAGTTCTCTGTGTTAAATATATAAAAGTTTGGTGGCAGAGATTATTTTTATTTCATTTTTTTTTTTTTTACTAAGGTTTATTTCAAGCCTAGCTAACTCAGAGAGGAGTAAGGATTCACAGCAAACATACTTGAACTTTATCTTTTCAGTTTCTTTCAGCCATTGAAGAGATGAACCATTAACATTCCTGGCACAAGCCTATTTTGAATAAACAGAAGGAAAAACAGACCATGAGCGTCAGGAGCCTCTTTACTTAGGAGACAGGAGCGCCACCTGCAGATATTTAAAACATAATACATCTAAGATCTGTGGGTTTTAGTTGTATTAAAGATCAGGTATTTTCCCAGTTCTTAAAAATTTCAGCCTAACTTTAAGTTTCTATAACTACACATCACAGATCCCACATGTCAATATCCAAAAAACAGCAATGTAGTTAATGTGGAGAAAAAAAAATCTAAGCACAGAAAGAATCTTTTGCATTCAAGATACCAGACGTTGACCCATTACATAAAAGTTTAAGAACATAGTTTTATTGGACTGCTTGTGAAAGCAAATCTGTTAGGCTATGATCTAGCTCAATTTCCAGAGCTATATTGGCAAAACAGGAACAAAAAGCTTAAAGCAATAAGGTTTACAATAAACAAGTAATGTTTTACTTTGTTGTTATTTGCCCATCACTTAACATAGGCCTATTTGTGTTATTAAGCCAACACAGTTATTGATTTTGTGATATGATCATTTTGCAGTTGTCGGGCCTGTTGGTGTTGACGGTGGGACTGTGGCTAAGGTTTGACTCCGCAAAGTTCCCGCCGGGCGATGGGGCTCCTGAGACCTTCTTCATTGGTATGTCACCATTTTTCAAACCTGCTTCACTCAACATTAGGGTTGTCACAATAATAAAATTTCAAACTCAATATTGATTTACAGAAAAATATTTGATACTACTTTTGATAGGCTACCACTAGAATACAAAACAACAAATAATTAAAGGCTAACATTAACAATAGCAAAATATGCAAAAAAAAAAAAACTGCATTTTGTTTTAGCCAAAGTAGTATTATATCTGGATACAGTGTGTGTGTTTGTTTGTTTTTATCCTACTTAACATACACCTTCAAAATGACTCCTAGATAATACCTTCTTATTTTTAGTTAGGATTTGTATTCATCATTACTGAAGTGATATTAATCTTTGTGTCAAAGTTTACTCCATTAGCAGCTAAAATTCAAGCATTTCTACATAATTCTGTGCATGTTACGGTGTGATCTTTGCCCTAAATGACTTTCTGTGGTTTTAGATATCATACTCAGTATGTTACATTTAACTCTTGAAGTATAAACGGATATTCGGATATTTAAGCTGATTAGTTCAAATATTTGACGTCAGTCTGAGTTTAATCTAAGAGCATATTTTGTCACTGCCTGTAACTGAAAGCTGTTGATCTGATAGTGAAATTTAGTTCATCTGCATTTTGGAGTCTGGTTACTCTTATTTTAGCCTGAACACCCGTAGCTACTATGTGGGTTTCAGTTCAAATGAGTCAGTAACACCATGGTAATCAGATGAGCTTTGGGTACCTTTAGCAGCGTTGGCCGGTACCAAGCCAAGCTTGACAATGAAATGAGCTTGTTAGCATGAAAACTAAACTTCAGGCATCATGGATTCTGTGCCTTATTACTGTTCCTTCAGACCATGTTTTCAAAATTAAAATCAAATCTTATTCTTACTTTTATCAAAGCAACTTGGGCATCAGTTACACCTCAGTAGAATGGCAGACCCTTTGCTGCCATATCATAACGAATTGCTGCAGTAATGCATGCAAATGGAGGCCCAACAGAGTATGAAATACATAGAAATAAACATGCTTTTCAACAGCCTATAATTTCTGTTTAAAATAAATATCTATTGATCTCATCTTTGCCTCGGAAATCAAAACCACAAGAAATAAACATAAATATTTCAGTGTCTGAAACAAGAAATAAACTAAACAAAAAGAAAGCATTGTTGCAAAATAGAAGGAAAAATAATGATTCTCAATTTTGAAATCGGAAATATTGTTGCATGCAATTTCATCCCTATTTATTCTAGTACCCCTAAATAAAATACAGTAAAAAAGCTGTTTGTACATGTATGCAATCTCTGCTTCAGCAGTCAAAATGAATAAAGATGAAGGTTGCAGTCAAGTACTTAGGGTGGAAAAGAGCTGTGGTTATTTGTGCAGCCCATTAATTTGCTACTTACCCTACATCTCGTTTTTATGTTACATTTGGGACTACTGTTATGTTCCTTTAAGGTGGAAGAACACTGCTGGCTGCCAGGCATCAATTTCCCAAGATGTATGCATCCAAAACATCCCTTTCTCAGATGGAGTGTTACATGAACATCCTTAAAACAGTTTGGTTTTTATTCTGAAATATTGTGAGCGTTTGTATTTAGTTCAACAGGGTTTTGTGAAGAGGTTGAAGAGCATCTCTTTACGGTTGCAGCCAGGACCCCTCTTTGTTTTGAACAATCTGAATTTTGGAAATTGTAAATGCAAATAGCTAAGTTACAATGTTAATATTTTATAAGACAATTTTTTTGGATGACCAGCTTTGGATTGTTTTATTGGATTGATAAACCAAGTGCTTACTAGGATTTCTAGAAATAATGTGTTAAAAAAGGAGCATGAACTTTTTGACACTTTGTTTTCAGGTGGCTTTTGAATACTGAATACATTTCTTGCAAAACTCCCACTAAACACACAGCAGATTATTAAGACATACAGTTGGAAAGACAAGCAGCCCTCAGTGTTAAGTCCCAGTAGAACAGGCTCTCTATTTCTTGTTCAGTGTAGGAGCGCACGCTTTGAAAGAAGTCTGTTGTTGTTGCTCCCGCTGAGAACATGACCTAAAATGGTGACTTCACTTCGCAACCATCCAATAGTTGCTATCTTGAGAGCAGAGGAGCAGGTTGGGCATGTCAAACGGAAACTCTCTTTGTAGAGTTTTTTTTTAATTCCCCTGCTGATACTTTAATGCACAGAATAAATGTTTTTTTTCCAGAAGCCTGTATAAGCCCAAGCTCCTTGCAACACTGTTTGTTCATTTTTCATGACTGTTAAAGACAAATAAGTGCAGCTTTGAAGCATGACAGTGGGAGATCAAAATAAAGCACACACTGACGGTTTAAATTCAGTTTTTGCAAAGTCAGAGAAGCGGTTAAAATTATATTTTTGCAGTTTAATTAAATGCAAATAGCTAATTTAACAGTTAAATTAATTTGCACTTTGCATGTCTGCATTTCAGCTACTATATAAGATAGTAATTAATGATGAGTTAATAATTAATTGAGGAAAAAATACTGATGCGTTTAATGCTTATTTTCCCTTCTGTAAGAGGAATTGATATTTGTGGTACCAAATCAAGGTTTGCATAAATCGTATAATATTATGAATATTTGATTTTTTTTTTTTTCCCAGGTGTTTTTTTATTAGATTCAGAGTGATAAATAATTTTTTTTGGTTGATATAAAATATTTCCCTCTCTACATAATGCCAAGCTGATTAATGGTACTTTTAACAAGCCAATACACCCCTCCAGAACCCTTGATCTTAGAGGGATCATATTACAAGTCATTTTCACCTACGTATGTTGATTTAAGGCATTGGAAATCTGAGGCGGCCTAAGTAAACAAGCAGAAGAGTGATTAGAGGAGGCAGCTCAGCATCTCCAATTAGTCAGCGTGGTGCAGCGTAAATCCAATTTGCTGTTCTTATTTTTACAAAATTAGATTCAAGTTAAATGACACCAAAACCAATTTAAACATCGGTTTATCTAAAACATGGTGCAGAAAAGAAGTTACAACAAATAAATGCCATCGTAGTTCCTAAAAACAATAGAAAGGCACCGAGGTGGTTCATTTCAGACAAAGAGAGCGAACACAGAGCTACCTTAATGAGAAGGAAGGACAGCATTCCCTGTGGATGATTCACTTGCAGTTCTGTCACCTTTGCGCTTCCCTGTGTGTACACAACTATCTCGTGTGTATATAAGATAGTGACAGAGCTTAACTATGAGATAATGCAGATGTTTACGGTTACAGTTGTGTTTCTATCCGATACCTGCTTTAAAAAAAACACCAGGGCTGCTTGGGAAGCATCTGCAAGATGTCATTGGTTTTACAAACAGGAAGTTCTACAAAAGAACAAGTGTTGAAATGAATGACTAATGGAAAAATAATGTTTTTCTATGTGATGACATCTTTTATATACAGTGGAAGCTTTCTTGGCCTCTTCTGTTTTCCACTGCAAATCCAGATCATTTGCTTTAAAGCCATGCGTTCAGCTTCCTGCAGGTCAGCTTCGCTTTGCCTCCCCTTTTGTTCGGTGACAGCAAAACAACAGCTTGCGACGGGCCCATGTGCATTAATTATATTGCTGTAGTGATTAGGCTCCAACCATAGACCTCAGGGAGCCGCCTGGTGTATAGTTGCAGCGTAAAGGACCCAGTAGTGAAGGCTGGGAGTAGAAGAGGTGACGTCAACCAGACTGGAGAGAAGCAGAGACGGTCATGGTTTCCAGCGTTTATAAGGCCCAGAATTAGATTTCCAGTTTTATAAAACCAATTGTCTTAGGTTTACTGCTTTAGGGTTTAGGAACATGACAGAACACAATCTATAACTGGAAACTGTCACATTTAATGGGAACACTAAGGCAGAAATCCAAATTCCAACATACAAAATACTGAGAACCAAAAATAAGATATGTCAGGGAAAAATAAACAAGAGGTGGTGTTTATATTGGGAGACCGAACCAACACAGGCTAATCAGCAGATTGGGAGCAGGTGTGAACAAGACCAACTAGGAGGAAGCCAAAGGGGAAGGAAACAAACACCAGGGGGCAACAGAGGGTAACTAAAAAACTCAGCACTGGTAGAAATCGACTACAAAGACAGAAAACTAAGAATAAACCCAAACAGGGGGCAGAACCATGACAGAAACATCACCAACACATCAAAAGAACACTGGAAACAAATTCATTTCAGCTCTGCTTTAGATATAACAGGGATTAAGCAAAGACTCCACAAATTTGATCCTCTGGTTACATGCTGAGGCTTCAGAATCACGTCATTTTAATGTTTCTGAACATCAAAATGTTTTTTTTTTTTTTTTTCAAATGGACTGTTGATTATTATGAAAATTTTAAACTAAATACTCCAAAAATAGTTTGAAGACTACTACATCTGTAGTCCCTGGCATTTCAGTACGAAAACAGCAAGAAAACACCAAACCATCAGAGATTAGACATCAATCAATTAATCATTCAATTAATAAAATAGCACCTTCCAGTCCAATTTCTCTATTTGACTTTTGATTTAGATGCCGAGTTTGCAGTCTAGTAAACCCATTTACATGCAACCATATCCTAAAAGCATTTTCTTTTAAAAGAGCAGTCAATCTGGCAGCAAGCGCTTCTCCCACAGAAAGCTGTGAAAAGCTCAGTGAAGGAGTAGGCTGATCATCAGACTGAGAGGTGGGAGGCAGCTCTGAAGATTTGAGCTAGTAAAGAAGTTTCCACCTACACATATCTGCTGCTACTCAAACACAACAAACAGGCTTTTTATAAACCTCCCCACATACATGAAGGAACATGTGACTATGCTGCCCCCATCAGGTGAAGCTGTAAACTGCAAGAATATAATCATTCTTATATTCATCAGATTTTCAAAGAAAACCTAACACTGAATGAATCTTTCTTTGTCTTTCTGCAGCTGTTTACATCCTTCTTGGAGCAGGAGGCCTGATGATAGTCGTAGGGTTCTTTGGTTGTTTTGGAGCGGTTCGGGAGTCCCAGTGTCTTCTTGCATCGGTAGGTTAAAGCAGTCAGAAGGGATTAAATGGATTGTTCCCTTACCTTTGATGAGATCTGAGACTTATATCTCATAATCTATTTTATAATATAATATCTATCTCACAATAAAGTCGGTCTAAGTCTCATGTTTTATGTCTCAGTTTTTCCTTTAGTGCATTTTTTCTTTTTTCTTTTTAAGTCGTGACAAAAAGTTTTTGAAAAATAAACAAAGGGTGGATTAAGTTAACAGATATACATGTAATTTATCTTCCACAAAAATGTAAAAAGTAATAAGTTAAAAAGATTCAGATTCTGTTTTAGAAGTATTTGTATCTTGAGTCAAATAATGTGCTCTGATATGAATAATCACTGAGACCAGCTGAGGCATTTATACATGTTTACATATTGATAAATGAGAATCTTTGAAAAATAAAAGTCTGGTTCCTACCTCTGCAGTTTTTTGCCTGCCTTCTGATCATCTTTGGAGCAGTGATCACTGCTGGTGTGTTTGGATTTGTGAACAAGGATAAGGTAAAATCAATGTTTAAAGAAACGATTAGCCGATTACCTCAGTTTTTCAAAAGAGCACTCACTAATCACCCTTTCTCTTCTCTGTTTTTCTGTTATAACAGATTGCTGAAGATGTCCACAGGTTTTACAGTGACTCCATTGACAGTACCAACCCTAATATAACTCTCATAGTGGATATTTACGAGAAAGCAGTCAGTACAGCTTAGCTTTTAATCCATTGCTTCCTTGAGAATTGAAGTAACAACCTAATCATGTCCCTTTACCTTTTGCATATACAGCTGAATTGCTGTGCATCCACTGTTATAGAACCATGCGATGAACGTACAGTCATGGTAAGCTGATTGTAACACTTTATAGCCACATAGCAGCAGTGTAGCCACTTTGGATCTGATCATGCATTTCTGCTTATCTTTTAAACCTTCAATTTGTGACCTTTTAGGACTGTGGTGTTGCAATAGAAATCTTCTTTGAAGAAAAGCTGCACATCATCGGATTTGTAGGGATTGGCATTGCTGGAATAATGGTGAGAATTTTGACAGTTTTCACTTTAAATTCAAAGAAAACATTTTTAAATGCTTGAAAATATTCCGCTAAAAATACTGGCTTGTGGTGTTTATTAAATTATAGATTAGATGTGATATTGAATTATGTCTGTTTTCAGGTTATAGGAATGATCTTCAGTATGGTGCTGTGCTGTGCGATCAAGAACAGCAGAGAAGTTATATAGACGGGGGGGTAACACACCCCACAACCTGCCCACATCCACTCACTAAGCAACAACCAGACCCCTACATACGCGCACAACCCTTTATAATCAATGTATCCATATGGGTAAAGCAGCCTCACCTCTTATAGATCAACTGTAGAGGTGGGGGGGTACCTGCACTGACTGCATTCAACACAATACGCTGGATCGATTTCCAACCTGCTCCGTGATTTTACCAGCCCAGAAACAGATTTATTATTCTGTTCTTTTCCATTCCTTGTGCTTTGCTTTTTGGCACAGCAATGTGACATTCCATGCGGTCAACACGTTTGTGTTCGGCTGCTGGTGCTCTGCAGAGTTTGTCTTACTGCACTGTAGCTATAACACAATACGTACGGCCTTCTGTGACACGGGAATGTTATGTGGAGGGAGTATTGCTGTAAATACTTGACACGCTTTCAGTTGATTCTATTTATCCTGTACATTCATTCGCTTTTTTGGGCCTTAACCTTGTCATTCTTTGTTTTTACTAAGTTTTGAAACTAGCCGACCTTTTGCAGTGTGAACTTCAATAACGTGCCTCTTTGAACCTTTTAAGTCATAGACAGACCTCCAGCTACCTATTAGTGTGTCTTTTTCATAGGTTTAATATGTACATAACAACTGTTTCTGCTCTCTGCCTCCTCTTTTAAGTATTTCTACTGTAAAACACGCCTGGAAACTTTTGTAAATCTATAAATTCTTCTGAAAGGTCAGTAGTACCGTGTGTTGTGCTGAACTCTTGAGCATGTTTAACTTTAACAGTAAGCTAGTTTGCAATTTGTCTGACTGGATGTACTTTTTTTGGGTGTGCCAATTAGATATAAAGTAGAAGATAATATAGTTTGTCCCCATGTTAATGATAATAAAACGTTCTGGGTGCTTGTATGTATGTTTGTTTTCTTTTTTAAACTCTGTGTTTAAAAGGTGTGTTTCATACTTAAGGAAGTTAAAGCATCACAGCAAGTCAGCTAGAAAAGAGAATCAACATGTAGAATATTTTGTGCAAAAGAGTTAAAAGAATATTACAGGTGATAATCAAAAGTTTTTGCTCCTTTTTTTGCATTTCTATAATGTAATTCAATTCAATTCAGTTTATTTATATAGCGCCAAATTCACAACACATCATCTCAAGGCACTTTACAGTTCAACCAGATCATACAGTCAAATTGATTAAAAGTTTTCTATCTAAGGAAAACCAGTTGATTGCATCGACTCATTGACTTGAAGGCAATCCCTCACACTAAGCATGCTTGTAGCAACAGTGGAGAGGAAAAACTCCCTTTTAACAGGAAGAAACCTCCAGCAGAACCAGGCTCAGTGTGAGCGGCCATCTGCCGAGGCCGACTGGGGTTCAAGGAGACAGAAGCAGATATAATCAGTTTACAAATAGATTTTGGGGTTTTTATGCAACAGATCAACATAACTTGCTTGTAATTGTGACATTCAAAGACAAGGATTCAAGTTTTTTAAACTGAGCAAATCAAAGAAATAACCTTCAACTCACACTTAACAGGAGCCAAATGATTGCTTTAAGTTTTTAAGCAAAGAAATATTTGGGAGTCTGAATAAGAGAGGGAATCAAACTTTCCATACAAACAAGGCGGAGGTTTGTTGATATTATATTAGACTGGACAAATGACAAATCCTTCCAAACTAAACTTATCAATTTTTTTACAATGAAAGCGAAAAAAGCTTAAGGCTAAATGTTACATACCAAATTGACATTTGTCTCTTAGTTTAGTTCAAGGGTATTTTGCATTAGAGAATACATCAAACACACAGTAAAAAAAAAAAAAAGTTGAAAGAATAAGACTCTGCAGGAGGAAGCAAAAAGCCAGACTGGGTTATCTGAAGCCTCCACCAAAAACAAAACATGCAAAGTAAAACAAAAAGGAACATACACAGGAATACAGGTACATCTACTTTGTACAGCTCTATATATATATAACCGCAACAGAATCCTTGTTACAATGTAGTGCTGTTATTACCGACCTGTAATATAAGCTGCTAGCCAGCGCCACAGCTGCTCTGGGGCACTGGCTAGCAGCAAGAAGGTTACTGGTTTGAATCCCAGCCCTGGGTCTTTCTACATGGAGTTTGCATGTTCTCCCTGTGCATGCGTGGGTCCTCTCCGGGTACTCCTGCTTCCACCCACAGTCCAAAAAAAATGACTCTAAGGCCGAGTTGTCAAGTAACGAAGTACAAATACTTCCTTACTGTACTAAAGTACACTTCTTAGGTATCTATACTTTACTCCATTACTTATTTTTCTTTCTACTTCTGAATTCCACTCATTACATTTTCACACAAGTATCTGTACTTTCTATTCCTTATATTTGTAAAACAAATGTTACTAGTTACTTTTGGCTTCGGTTTTATGTTTATAAATATTTATTTTAGGTCATGTGCTCCCATCCATGGCAGATCATTGGCTCCATCCACATCTAGAGAAAACTAGTGTCATTGGATGAGTCATATAATGCAAACACATTGGTTAGCTAAAGGAAATCATCAAAAGCAAGCAGGTGTTCTTCAAACTGCTAACGTGAATTGTCTCTGCCATGCTACGATGTCGGATTCAGAAAAAGATGTCGAATTGTCTGAAAGGTCGGACACAGGCGAGAGCGTATCGGGAGACACAGACCGACAAGACCTCCCTCATCCTTGGCCCCATCTCAAATCATTTTTTCGAAATAGTCGAAAAATGTAGCTTTCAATTCATATAGTGGCATCTGGCTGTGTTTTTTGCTTTTTTTTAGGTTACTTTATACTTTTAAGTATTTTTGGACCACATACGTTTTCACTTTTACTTGAGTAAAGAGGTCAAATTTATACTTTTACCAGAGTGTTTTCAAACTGCAGTATCTATACTCCTACTTAAGTAGCAAATGTGCATACTTTTGACACCACTGTTAGGTTAATTGACTTCTCTATATTCTTCTTAGGTGTGAGTGAATGGTTGTTTGTCCCGTTGTCTCCGTGTTGCCCTGGGATGGACTGGCGACCTGTCCAGGCCGTACCCCGCCTGTAGACAGCTGGAGATAGGCACCAGCACCCCTGCTTGGGATAAGCGTAACGGAAAATGCATGGCGTAAGATATATGGAAGGATGGAGATCCCTTGACTGGCTTTTAGTATGTAAATAAATGTAGATAAATTTGCTTTAGTCATTAAAGTGCCTGAAAAAGATTTATTAATTCATCAGAATCTGTAAACTTTTAAATAAAGGTGTTTGATAGGCACGTTCCTGACAGTTGCCATTTTAGCAAAGCATGTCTGGATCCGTAAAATCTTGTAGACAGCAGTCGGCTTAAGACTCCCCCAAACTATTTTGCAAGAAGTGCGGTAAGGATACACAAGGTTGTGTTAAAAAGTGAAAAAACACTTTAAAAATAGCTTACTCTCAAAGACCAAGAGATTTAACACAACCTCTTTCCAAATCAAACTTTCATCAATGAAAACTAAAAAATGTGTAGAAGATACCTTAAGTAACTTAACTTCAAAACCACCATTTGTTACCATATACAGCATGTTAATGGATTGATATATGTCAGAAATATTTACTATCATTCCATCATTGCAGCACCTGGGTAGCTGTTGCTATTATGTAGCTTAGACCATCTCCATATGGGTGAATGAATGTAGTGCAGAGTTTTGGGTCATTAGACTTGATAAAGTTTAGGCCGTGTTCCCAATAAAATTCAAGGTATAAATGATAATGGCTTTGATGGACATTGTACACTCTGATTAAATGGGAACAAAACTTTCCAATTGTTCTAGGAAGGTTTGATGTAAACAGGAGAAATGTGTAAAAACACCTAATCCCTATTGTTAGAGGACTCATCATTTTGTAAAAAAATATATATATATAAATATACACATTTACTTCTAAAGGTACTTTTCTGTCTAAAACAGTGAGAAAACCCATCAGATCTTTCAATAAAGTTAACATTGATATGGTTCACTAGTCTTCAATGATCATTATGATGAAAATTTTTGGCTGAGCTGAATGGCGCATTAAAATATTGTAGACAACAGCCAGGCAAAGATTATGCCAGGAGAAATGTTTCATTGTGCTTCATTTTCTGCTAAAGTTTTTTCTTTTTAAAACACATCTTAAGCAGAGGTGCCAATTTCTGGGACACAAACAGTCATTTCTGAAACATTGATTTTACACCAAGACCAATTATTAACATTTGAATAAATAGACCACCATGGAACCAAAATGAATGATTTAATGGCTGCAGTGTACAAAAAAAGCCATCAAAGTGACAGTATGCAACAGCCATCTCTCACAGTATTAATGTTCAATTAAAGTTAATGTTTCCTTATAGAACCAAATTAATACAATTCTGTTCTACAATAAAATTATCCAGAAATTACCGTACATTTGAAACAAGATCTTAGGTCTTTAACATAAAATCCTGAAATGAATTTATGAAGACAAATATGATATGAATAAACCATGTCAAGCTATGTAAAGCAGAGCTAAACAATCGACTATGATAACAGGACCAATATGTTCATAAGAGAACGTTTTGTAAAGGTTTGGAGATCTGCATGGTCCCACACCAGTGGGAAGGCTCAAGATCAGACCAATAAACATTTAAACATTGTTAAAATGGCAGAATAAAAAAAAAAAAAAAAAAAAGGAAAAGTGTAAACTGGGCCCTATGAATTTTGTTGTAACAAATCTTATTTCTAAGATGAAGGCTTTATGTGATAAGATAACGGAAATTTGGGGAAAAGAAAATATATTTATATATATATATAAGAGAAGTAAAATATATCCCATTTATAAAAATAGCAAAGACAATAATCAAACCAATAAACACAAAAATAGCTCTGAGTGAATTCCACTCCCTCACAGAGGGAATCTGGACATTAATGATTTGGGACTAGGACAGAAAAATACTGCAATTCTGAGTCCACAACCTTAAAAGACCAACAGATTCAAGTGCAAACAGTGGGCTCAGTCTGCTTTAAAGTCACAAGAGCGTGCAAATGCAACACAGCTGTCAAACTAGAGATTATTAATAAAAATAAACTCGTGCGTCAGGAGTTCTTTTTTGCTGTAAACGGGTTGAATGTAGCTGCCAGTTTTAACTGGGTCCGGTGAGTACGTGGCCTGCTGATGCAGCTCAGACAGACAGGAAACGTGGAGAAAAGTTGTCCAGGATATATTCACCGACCCCCACAAAATACATAACTTGTGCAATTCCAAACAGTGGTGCAATGACAAGGGCCCGGCAGCCGGCGCCCTTCAGGAAGGCACTCGGCCCCTCCTTCCGCATGATTTTACTGTTGAGACAGGAGGATCGGTAAATTTAAGTAGGTGCAAGATGGAGAATGAATACCTCACGAAATTAGCAAATAAATTAGCTCTTACCTCACGCAATCCATAACGCCATTGTAGCTCTCCTCACTTGCGGCTTTGTTGAGGGACTGCAGCCTGGTCTTCACCACTGCAGGTGAAACATTTTTTTTAGACATGTTGCTACTAGTTCTTAAGAGTAGTGGCTTTCCAACCTAATCCTCAGTGGCCCCTGCCCTGCATATTTTAGACACATCTGTTCCAGCACTCCCAATTCAAATTATGGCTTCCTTTTTGCATTTAAGTGCTGTTGAAGCCTGAAAACCTGAAGCCTGAAACCTGATGCAGCAAGGAAACACTTAAATCTGCTGGACTGGAATCTCTGAGGAACAAGGTTGGGAACTAGTGACTTAGAGACACACTGTGGAGAGAAAATAAACATAACCCACCATCACAAGGATTGACAGCAACAGCAGCAGTAGATCCTGCAACACACCCAGAGAGGAAGGCCCAGTAGAAGGGTGAGGACTCTTCAGGACTGGGTTTACCCAGGCGGTTCAGGTTAGCAAACAACGGGAAGTAAACAATAGAAAAAGGAACATCCCTGAAAAAATAAAAGTAAAAGAACTTTAGCAAAGACTAGTCCGACACATCGCATTTCTGATAAATAGAAAACGGTTTTACAAATAACTCTGCTTTACCTCATCAGTGTTGCCCCCAGGCCCCTGTAGAGGCCCTGGATGCCCTGTGTCTGCAGGAGTTCCTTGGCGATCTGCGTGGCCGACACGGCTCTCGGCGTTGACACTACAGGGCCGGAGTTGAATGAGCGGCTGAGCACTGCGTTTGTCACCACAAGTTTGGTGGGAGACATCATGACCGGTTTCTGTTGCTGGGCCGCTTCAGAGAATAAATAAAAATATTAGAAACATAAATTAGAACCACCGTCACCAATAATGGGACGTTTGCTCACCAATCCTGCCTGCATCCTGTAACTGGATCTTAAGCATTTCCATGGGGGTAGTCACAACCACTTGGCACATGCCTGCACCACAACCCGCCAGCATTTCTTTGAGCACAGTCAACCCTTTTCTGTTAACAGAAAACAAGATTCAGACAGAAATACAAATTTAAAGAAAAAAACACACCCGTGACACATTTACGATTTTTAAGACTTGTTCCAGAGAAATGTACGCACCCTTCCTTTGAAAGGTGATGGCGGAAGAAGTCATTCGCTGCGAGCTTGATGGCCTTTTCAGGGGTAACCAAAGTCAAATTTACAGCCGCACCTGAGAAAACACAATTACACAATTAGCACAGAAGCCACTATCTAGTGGTCAAATGACAGAGAAACAACATTGCATGACTATTATTACATTATCATCATCTAGTATTCAAAGAAAGGCTGCTCAATAACTAAGATAATTTCATGACATCACACTTAAGTACAATTTCAACTGTATTGTCAAAGACAGAAAAGAAATGGGACAAATTATACAAAGATGAAGTCTAAAGTAAAAGACAGAGGATAATTTCAGGAGAAAGCAGTTTTTTGTTTTTAAAATGTGTGAACTTAAAAGGTTGTGAGTTAGTAAACATGTTGACTACAACACAATAAATAAATAAATCAAAAGTTGTTAGGCACAGGAAATAGACTTGAACAAAATACAGAGAGTACAGACTTAAAAAAAACTTTCAAAAAAGTTATGTTATGTAAAAAAAAAAAAAAAAAAAGAAAAAAAAAAAAATGACAATGAAAACGGCACAGCTCAGATTAATTTGCAAGCTCAGAGTCTGTAAGGACATGTTAGAGTCCATATAGAACGAGGCAGGACAAGTTGACAGGACAGTGGAGAAACAAACATGAGACAGGAAGTCTGATTACAGAACAAACAGATGGCAAAACATACTTCAGCCTATAGTTTTAAATAGAGCAATATTGTAAGAACCATGTAATATTTGCCTCCAGCGTGGCTGCGCCTTATCGGCTAGCCTTGAATATCCCAGGGGGACCCAAGTCTGTAATATGGAAAAACACAGATGCAAACAACAGCATTCCTCACAAGAGCAGACGCCTAACCTAATGGTCTTTACTTTCTTTGCACATTTAAATACAACAGCACATTTTAAAATATCACCAAGTGTATGGAATGTTTACAAAGATTAAAGTTGGCTTTGTGAAATATACTTTGATTTTAATAGAAAAACCCATGTTTTTTCATGCAATATAAATACAAAATACAACAAAAAGCACAGGCATTTTTTGAATGGCAACTCTTATGAGCTTTACATTTTCCTACAATTAATCCTATGAAATAAAACTTCCACATTTGCTAACATAACAGCTCTTTAACACTCAGGTGCATCATATTACCTCTGTACATTCCAAAGTATCCCTCTGATCGAATAGTCTTAAACAGGCAGTCCATCCTTTACAAAAAGAAAGCATAGGAAAATTCCATTAACTTCATGAAAAGGTACCAAATGCTAGAATATCCTGCAGCGCTGTAAACTTCCACTCAAATTACTCTAACTACTTAACAAAGAACAATGACAACAATGTACAGCTGCCAGAGCCTAAAAGGTCAGGACACAGGGACTGGGATTCCATGAATGCGTCATTGTGGAATTAGAAAAAGCCCAGACGGATTTAAGAAGGACGTAGTAGGTATAATACTCCAAGACAACACAGCAGTGTTGTGTAGAGTGGAGCTACATATACTTACATGCTCCTGTAGACTTGCTGTCCACTTCTCTGGTTCTGCAGCCTGGTCTTTGCCAAGTCAATGGGAAAGACGCAAGTTACCCCAACAATGCCGGCAATACCACCATTAATAAGTTTGGCAGGAAGGCTGAAAAATAAATAAAAAAAAAAACATGAACAATTTGTAAATTAAAAAGAAAAACCTATATACACACACACATTTAAAATTTTAAGAAAACGTCCTATATTGTGGGAATAAAAAAAGAACTTAATGGTTTACCTGATCTGCTGCTGAGACATGTTGACTCTTTGTGGAACCACTGAAGACTTCAGAGGCGAAAAAGAAGCGATGTAGATTCAAATGTTTGCAGTTAAGCCAGTAAATATTGTCCTGGAAAGAGAAAACCAGCTGCAATTTATAAGAAGTCTGAACAGGATCTCGAGAAGACAGACTTTAACTTCTCCCACCCACCGCTGCAGTTTTAAACTATTCTATGAGTCTCAGAGTCATAGGACAGTGATCTATCCGCCCTGCTATTTAAGGACCTCCTGTGGGCGTGTCCAGCTCACAGACCGGAAGACCTTATATGCTAATTGCCGCCTTTAGCATATTTATAAAGAAATTCGATATAGTGGAGGTTCTAAATAAACAGTTCTTCGTAAGGCGAGTCTTATTGGCAAACACATATTTAGATTAGTAGAATTAAATTCCTTCTCCAGAATTTGTTTCAATTGGGATAGAAAATGTAAAACTTTTTTAAATCTACTAAACAATAAAACATTTTAAAGCTTCAAACTACAATAGCCAATAAAACATGTCATATTTTTGGCATTTCCTGCAAAGAACAGCAGTCTATGTTACTCCGTGAAGCATAGTAAAACACCCATTCAAAGTATCACGATCCGCAAAACTAAAAATAATATTCATAAACGTTTTATTCGATTAAGCGCTCATTTTCTTACTAAAACGCGAGTAAGGTGTAGTAACCTACTTACCAAAAGGATGGTTTTATTCTGTTTTTAATACAGTTTCAAAGTGTTCGTATCCTTCGTTTTTTCACCTCCCCAGACAAAGCCGTGAATAAAGCGCCAGGAAATTTCCACTGCTCTTAACTGCACAAAGACGCTTGCAACATGTTTCAATGACAACCAATCAGCGTCAAGACCTCTCAATGACAACCAATCGGAGTTCAGGTGCCGCTCACGTAGCGGACAAGTTCCATCACCATTGGCCGATAGATCAGTCAGTTAACATTTTCAGCCAATCGCAAATCGCAGCGCTATAAGCTGCGACGAATCGGTCGCAAGAACGTAGGGAAAGATAAATATATGTAAAAAAAAAAAAAAAAAAAAAAAAAGGAACCAAAAGCACTAAAATGTAAAAAAGTTAAATTTAGAGTTAAAATGCAAGGTATTTTCTTAATGTATTAAATAATGGTGTTCCTATCCAGACATGTGTTAGGATTAACTTTATCCTCCTAAAATCATAAAGGGATTAAGTAGATAGGCAGCGGGGTGTTGGCTTCACAAAAGATGATCTAGAACTTTCTGTTCTATTTTTTTCAAGGTGTCATGATTTCATTGAATGTTTTAGCTGCTTGCTTTACAAAGGAGAGGTTGATCTTTCTGTATTATCCATCTTGACCCAAGTGGTCTAAGAAATATTCTTCAAGGCATTTCTTACCATTAAAGTATTTTATACTTATTTGTTAGTTACAATAATATTGTTTTAAAAATGCCTTTAGCGGGAAAACAATACTAATTATAATATACACTTACCTTTGTTCTCTTTCGTTATTTAAACTAATGCACACAATGAAACTCCTATTAATGTGAAAATGCATCTGTGCTTTTTGTATTTCTTATTCCAAGATATGTTTGATTGAATTATTTTAATATGCAGCTTTTTTTTTTTTTTTTTTTGTGCAATGCACTTATATTTATCCTTATCTTTTGAAGTGCTTCCTTTGTTGCCTACCAGACTAATTACTGAGGATAAGAAGGTTTATTAACCCGTTACCAAGTGTTTGTAAAGGTGCTTACATGCAATTCTTAAGGACTTAGGATGTGATTGCAGCTTTAGGATTTCAAAGAAAAGCTTCTCTATGCTTAGCAAATTCATACTTTATAAAATTTAAAAAAATCGAGTACACAACTGCTAATATCTCGCATCTTGCAACCATGACCCATGTTTGGTAATCTGAAACATTTTGACTTAGATAACTGGATGCAGATTGGAAAATTACAAGCTGAATGCCACAAACAAGAGGTATTATCTGGAAAGCTGATTTTAAAGGTTTACATTCCAAGGTATTACCAGGAACTGGTTCCATGCATATGACCAGGGGCTGAAAGTTGTATAACACTGGGTGGTGCACAATATTTCCATATTAACCATGGATGTGGCATATATTTCAATTTGAAATATTCTTGGCTTTTGATCGACTCAAGTTGTTTCACTGCCAAACCTAGAGTGTGAGCCCAAATGGGAATCTGTTAGTTATGAAACATATTAGCATACATTAAAAACTATTTGGCATATGTGTGAGAAACATGATATGTTTTATCTTTGCTTACATCAGTAATGAAACGCTAAATTTATCACTATACAGGGCTTGATGTTAACCATTGCCCGATCGCCCGGGGCAAGTAGTTGTTATTGTCGGGAGAGTACGCATTTCATTGCATTTGCCCGCCGGCCAAGTGCAATGATCGCAAAAAAATATATTTATCACTCAAAATTACTTTAAAATCACCGACATTCGCTGAAAACGACCCACAAGCGTTGCCGGCGCCATTTTTGTTGTTTTGTACACATTCTCGCGTGATTTCAAAAAGCCGCGTGATTTTCCGCCAGATGGCGTGATTTTTGTCCGGCACGAATCAGACACATTTTTTTTCGACTTGGCAGGCTTAAAAACAACAACAAGGCTATTTTACCCTCCACCCATTTCACCCACCACCCAGATAACCCTAGATTAAAAATTATTTGTCAGGGATTAGGAAAATTGGCATAATTGTATGCCATGTGCACAGTGTAAATATGGCTATCATATGGCAGTCTTCTGTACAGTGATGCAGGTCATACATTAAAAAAATTTAATGAAATTTTTTTCTCTTAAACATTGGAGAGGTGCATTTAAATGTTATAGAGCTAAACATGTTAAATTGGTGACCTGTTATGTTATTATTGTCTTGTTGCTGCATTTATTTTGTCAGGGCAAACTAATCCTGAGTCAGTTAAAAGTCAGGGAATTCTGAAATCATGTAAGACTGTGGAAACCCTGTATAAAATAACTGTATAATGATTCTCTAGAAAAGTCACATTATATTAATAGTATTATCTTGACTTATCGTGACTCTAAAATAAAAGTTATTCATTTGTGACATTGACTTCTGTCTTGTGATTTATCTTAAGTTTTTAACCTGTCAAGTTTTTTTTTTAGATTTTTAACATTACAATTTATATTTTTCCAAACACACAACAGTTTAAAGCAAAGTTTAGTTTGAAAAGAATGTGCAGGAAGGATTGAAAAGCATGTTAACACGGTAATGTAGGCTTGAGTTCATTATCTGACGCATGCATATACACACCAGGAACCTGGAAACTAAAAATACTGAATTACAAAAAAACATTTAAAAAACAAACATGCTTCATTGATATATATACAAAAATGAATATTAGGAACTATATTTATCAAACATTATACTGGGCAAGTAAAAATTGCTTCTGGGCAAATGAAATATGAAAGTCACTTGCCCTTTGGGCAAGTGGTAAAAATCCTTAATGTCAACACCTGCTATAAGACTGGATCAAAAAATATATTCCTACGTTACTAATCTTGTCTTAAAACTGTTGGGAACTATCCATTTTTTCAAGTTTTTTTATTTTTTTTATTCTTTTTTTATAAGAGGTACTGAACAAAACAGTAAAAAAAACCAGGCAAAACTGCATGTTTGACTGAAAAGGGGATCGGCATGTTCACCACATAGCTGGTCTCAATGGAGTGCTGATGCAAGCAAATTCCTTTGGAAACACGTTTTATCCTTTAGGTAACCAGGTTTTACAAAACACAACTGCAACTAGGCAATTTAAACAACAGATAACTATCACGAGTTAGTCATATACAAAAAAAGGTGTTGTTCATATGAGTCATTTTCCAATCTATTAAAGTTCCATAAAATTGCTTTATCTTACTAAGAACTTCCTTTTACTGGAGGTTTAATAGAGCATCATTCAGGAAGTGGAGGATGACTTACCTTAACTGTCAGGACTAAAAATACATATGAATATAGGTCTTTGAGATATTGTTTAAACACTTGGTCATGTGTATAGAAAACAAAAAAGAAGGTAATTCCAGCAGTAAAAATGCAAAAGAAGAGCAGACTAAGGAGTAGTATTTTGCATATAATGGGATATTGCCTAGGATATAAAAATATATTTATTTTCTAGAAACTTTCTTCTTGGTTTGCTTTGTAAAACTCTTTGACCAACCCTTGGGTTTGCAAAGTGCTATACGATTTAAGTTGAGCTAAGCTGGCAGCTGAGAGATGCCTTCCATTCCACTTTTAGCCACTGTAGGAATCTCTACCAAATCTGCACTCTGAGGAGGACTCACTCCTGTTGGCATATAGTTTATCTCAAAAATAACTTGAATTTCTGGCATATTTAGGTTTCAAATAACTTTTTTAAATGTTTTTCACGATGAACATTTTTAACTACTGGAGGGGTTCTACAATAATTGAACCAGTTAATCTCAACCAAAACCTCTGGAGGGAGCTTATTAAGCATAGGCTGGCATTTTGCTTTGTTTACCTATTCCTTTCCAACAGTATATTAATTTATCTGAACCCATTATGAAATATAAACATGACTAGGATCTGTATCTACGTAGTGGAACATATTTTTCCTGACTCGAAGATGTCTGATTCTAAAGCCAAACAGATGATCAGGTTTTAGAGTCTATTAGAATCAATATTTAATAGACCGTTTTTAAGTCTGGATTTTGATTTTATATCACAAAATGTTTTTTTTATTTATTACTATAAAAATAAATTAAGTTTACATTGATTTACTATTACTTGACATAAATGCTGACACAGACCATTCCTTTTAACAAATACAGGGAAGAACTAAAAAGTCAAATTAAATAAAATCACCAAACAGAGGATATGTAACATTTTTGAGGTTTTATATTTTAAGACACTTAAACATCTGAGAATGTATTTAATATACAAAAGAACTATTATAACATCTTAATGTTTATAGAAAATGTGGCCTAATACAGTAAACGATTATGAAACAGCAATGTCACATAGGATGACTTTATCACATTGTCTCACTCTGAAGTTCTGATCTATTAATACTCTCCAGCTGTCATTGAAGCTCCCTTTATGGACGATAAAAGTTTCATAAACCCCGGCTTAGGATGAGATATGGACGCAGCTTACAAACTGACACATTCAGTTCTCTGTTTGGTAAATAGCTTGTGCCAAATATTAGATTAAACATCCGCCCGTTTACTCCTGAAAAACAGAGTTGTGTCAACAATCATGCACTTCTCTGAATGAGATCTCTAGTAAATATAGAATCAGAAGGTGAAATGTTGATGTAAACAGCTTTAGGTTTGTTATATAGTAAACAGACACTATAGCAAGAACCAGAACACGGTTAATTCAAGGACACCTGATCATGAGAGCCATTTCGTTTAAGCTTTATTTGACTCGTATTCAGAAAATACAGTTAAGCATAAACATTAAAAGTCTCGGAGAAAGCATAAGAAACTATGCAAACAAAGACATTGGAAGTCAATCTCATAGTAAACTAAGGAGTCAAAATGAAGCAGTATTATCAGACAACAACCTGATTAAATTAAGATACAGTAGGAAACAGTGCTAACACCATATGGTCCATTAGAAGATATGGTGGAAATCTTTCTTTACATAAACAGAGGAATTAAAATGGGACCATGTAGTTGCTTTGACCAGGGTATGGATAAACCCGCACAACTGGTTTAACACAGTTAGCATTGTAGCTGTTGACTCTGCGTGAGCACTCGTCTCTGTCAGTCCTGCAGGCTCCACAGTGGCAGCTGAGAGCTACAGGGAAGGTAAATACAGGGTTGGAATGAAGACCACAGCCAGGCAGAATGACAGTGCGATACTCCATCCTGTCATAGGTGCACCTTCTTTGGACGACGAAGCTCGGATGGAAAATCTCCCTCATGTTGCTGTCCTGCGTGATACACAAGCACATGGGAAACAGCTGAATGATCATGTGATGATTTCATTTGACAGGAACATACAAAGAGTAAGCTTTAACACGATTAAAGCAGTGAATGAACTAAATATAATAATCTAAACGTATGATTAAACTTGAAAAATATGAAACAAGAGTTTTGTGAGAATGACACTAAATGACTCTTATGTGGGAGACATTACCTAACTAAGATCACAGGAGGAGTAATTCATCTTTTTTTTTCTCAGCAGCACAGTCAGGATATTTGACTGCTGTTTTCTTGAAACGCGCAGCGCCTAAAATACATTAGTTTCACATTTTTTAGAGTCAGGCTGATTAAAAATATATGTTTAAGATTATAGTTAAGTAAAATCTAATAAAAATATGTTCTAAGTAATTCATTAAAACTTGGATTTACACCATATGACATCAGTACAACAAACTGTTGCCATAAAAAAAAAACAAAAAAACAAAAAAAACAGAAAAACAATGTCAGGCTCTAATACAAACACATACCCTTGTAAAGCAAAACCCCATGCAGATAGTAGTGTTGATTGCAACACAATAATCACATTCTGGCTTTTCCACAAATAAAGTGAACTCCGTGGGAAGACACATGGGAGCAGCTGGGTAAAAGAGCAGAAAAAAAACCCAGCAGCTGAACACTGATGTCTCCATTTTTAGCTTTCCCTTCATCTGGTTTGTTTCTAAAAGGAAGGAGAGCTAGAGAAAAAAACAAAAAACAGATTACATCAAGAATCAACAATATTTTCTTTTTCATTGATGTTAGAATCAGTTGAGCGAGGGACACGGTCACTTACAGATCCAATAATGCTCTCACTCTGATCATCCCTGCAGAACTGTATAGATATATACACTTTATTCATTAATCTATTCATGAAAACATAATCCTATCTGCTCTAATCCAAGCTAACTGTTATCGTCTATCTCTGACGAAAGTGGTGCCCTTATGTTTTGGTCCATTTTGTGAATGAGATGAACATATGGATATTCTCTAACCCAGCGGTCCCCAACCACCGGGCCACGGACCGTCGGTCATTTGGTACCGGGCCAGACAGAAAAAAGTATATATATATAATTTATCGACGATCAGAGTCTGAGAGATGTTTTATTTTGAAAAATATAACAAATTGCGGTATTCTCTCCCAATTACATCAGTCGGTGCATCTGTGCCTTTTGACACAGGTTAATTCAGTTCAAGACTCATCCTATCTATAACATCCTATCTTTGTGAAGCAGGATTTTCTGCGGTTACAGCGACCAAAACAAAGCTACGGAGCAGACTGGACATCAGGAGCACACTTCGTGTGTCATTGTCTCCGATTACGCCTAGATGGGACCGGCTTGTTGTGAAAATATTGTCTGACATATAGCGGTCCGTGGTGCAAAAAAGGTATGGGACCGCTGCTCTAACCCATGGCAGACTGTGACAAAGTGCCAACATTCTTTACTTCTACTAAAAATTATTGTATATGTTATGAGAGTTACATAAGTTAAAGAGTGAATTTAACCACCTTCTCTAAAACAAATCAACCTTTTTTTGGGATTGAATATTAACAGAAAAAAAGTTAGTGGGCAATAATGTCACTTTGTGTGTGTGTTACTGTGTGTTTAAAGTATGTTTTTGGCGCCGTTGAGTTAAAGATTGACTCTAACGTCAGCAAAGATGAAAGCTGGTAAAAACACATTGGCACGGCATGCGCTTTACATGCAGGTTTATCTAATCAGCTTTCATAGTGGATATAATACATAGCAGTGACGGCAATGGTCACAAAAAAAAAAAATATTGAGAAATATAGGGTTATAAACCAACCCCCATCAAAAGTTATATGGGGGGTGTTCTTATCTGTAAGTCTGAACAATCATTGGCCCGTGTAGTCAAACTGTAATGGAAACATTAGGTGATTATGAAGTGAAAGCAGCAGTTTTTAACGCACTGATGAGTCAGAGCTGGTCTGCTGTATGTTTTTAGTTCATGCAGACAAACATAAATGTGTTCTAATGTAAAACAAGAGTAATAACAAGCTGAACACAATGGACTCATTTCCTCATCTTTCACACAATGTTGTCAATATCTAATATGATTAGTCTTAGAGGCAGATGAGATGCATCCTTTAACATTGACAGTATAAACTTAAGTGAGGTTAAATTAGCATTAATGTATCAAGGCCACTCATTGCTTCTCAAATGCTGATATAAATCTTAAGAAAACAAACTTGTCATTATGAACCATCTGGGGTTTTTCTACAGTCAACTTTTACATAGTAGACATAATAACATAGAAAACCTCTTGGTTGCAAGTACTTAAGATGTCAATAAAAAGGAAGAAAAAAAAACGTTTAAATCTCTGTAAATGTTCCTAATTGAATCAGACATTTTTTTTACAATTTGGTAATTGATTTTAAAATGAAATGTTACCTTGTGCAGTACTGAGTAGATAAAAAAAAACTAAACATTAATTATGTAAATATTAATCACTAATGACAAGTTGATGTGGTGACAGGAGTAGAGACCAAGCCCCGAGGATTCCAGCCTCCCTCCCCCAGGAACTCTTTATTTAACCAAGAGGTACTGAGTAACCAAGATACATAAACAGATCTCCCATCAATGTGTCACTGGATCATTTTATGCCAAAAAATGGATTTATTGACACCAAACAATCTTTTAATTGCTACCAGAACGCAATCCGCGACACAGCAAACAATCATCTTCTTTTATAATCTCTGAAATTATGGAAGGCTTCACTGCCTTGTGTCCTTGATGGATCATTAACCTGAGGGAACTAATCTTTATTGTCTGCTGAATGCATTAGAGCTGACCAGACTTCTTCTAGTTGCATGAGAGGTGCTGGAACTATCAATGAACTACTGAAGACTGAAGCAACAAAGTTGAAGGCACGGTAGGACTAAGGGCTTTAATTCTTGGAAAAAGTCTTTAATTGGTAAAGAGAATTTGAATTTAATTTAACTTTAATTTAACAAATGAAATCATTTTCCTGGCTATCTTTAATTGACCTTTTTCCTTATAGTGCTGGTAATGTTTTACTTTTACCTTAACTAGGGACATAAACTTCACCAAAACTGTTTATTCCACATATTTACATTTTCCCTGTTATTTTAGGTTCAAGGAAGCCCATACTCCTTCGTAGATTAACAATGGTTGGAACCGGGGGCCCTGTGGCCACTTTTTCTGTTTGGGATTATGTGGTGTTTGCTGCAATAATTGTGGGAGCAGCCGCCATCGGCCTTTTCCAGGCCATCCGGGGTCGGAAGGAGACCAGCAGTGCAGAGTTTTTGTTAGGTGGACGACAAATGACAGCTGTACCAGTTGCCATGTCTCTCACAGCCAGCTTCATGTCTGGCATCACAGTCATTGGCACACCTGGAGAAGCGTACGGCTATGGCACTGCCTTCTGGCTCTTTGGTTTCTCTTACGCCATCATGTCTGTCATCACTGCTGAATTATTTGTACCCCTTTTCTATCGACTGGAGATCACCAGCGCTTATGAGGTAAGAACATGCTTTATATTCTAAATGACTTCATACTAGGAAGAAAAAGCTTAATAAAATCATAGTGGGTTTGAGACAAACATCGTTCTTTTTTTCCAGTTACCTTTAATAACATGTTTGCAGGCTTTCTCTGGGCGTTTTGTTTGAATATCTTGAAAATCTTAAATCTCAGTAGAATCTATTAATTTTCTTTTTTAAGCCATCTAACAATAACTTGTGACTTATTTTTTGCTAAAAAGTCCCCTTTTTTAAGACAGTAGCATTCTTTCACATACACACACCATGTGAAGGTAACAGCCTGCCTCAAAACATCTCATGTCTAATTTCTTTAGTTGAATCAAAAATTCCTAAGATTGAACAATGCTGGGATAAAATGACTTCTCTATTAAAGTTAGATTAAAAAAAATTGTGTTTGTGTGTGTGGGGTGGGGGGTGTAGGGTGAATATGAAGACAATGACTTTAAGAAATAACAAAAAAGAGACTAGGGAAGATTTTACAAATGCATCATCTTTTGGCTGAATAATTGAATAATGTTCATCTTTCATTATAACTTCATACTTTATGAAATTATATAATCTGTTATACTGCGATCATATTGTTTCTGTTTTTTTATAGATACAAAAGCAATGTAGTTGAAACAGAGTTAAGGTTACGGGGATAAAGATGCAGTTTAAGCATAAGAAATGATAAGTTGGTTTGTAGTTTTTTTTGAGCCACAAGCAGAATCACAGGGAGAACCAGTAAATTTGAATGTTTAGTCTATAAAATTAACAAAAATTAAGAAAGTGGAGAACTACAGGAAGTCAGTTGAACTCTCTGGTTGTTCTAATGAGTCTGATTAACTGATTGATTTGCTTATTTAGAGAATGAAGGGGAGGTAACATGGATCTGTAGGGGTTGATTGTGCAGTCTGCTGGCTGTGCAGACTGCACACCAGAGGTCCAGCAGAATGAAAGTGACATCAGAGAGCGTTGGTACTTGCAAGAGATGATGTGCTAGAGAGCCGGCAGGCAGATGTTGGAGACACACAACACAAATCAGACCTTTTCCTAGAAGATTGGAGGTGAACTGAGGTTCACTGGTTGTCTGGAACAATACCAGACATTAAATTGGTACCAGCTACTAGCTGGTAGCGCTAACTTCACACCTGATGAAGACCCTCGAATGGTTGGTCTTACACCATCTACGCCCCCTGGGGAAGGCTTCATTGGATCCACAGCAGTTTGCCAAACATCATGGGATTGGAGCAGATGATACCGTCATTTTCCTCCTGCACCAAGCTCTGACTCACCTAGAGAAGCACTGTGAGAATCATGCTCTTTGATTTCTCTACTGCTTTCAACACTGTCCAGCCAGGAGTCCTAAGGGACAAGCTGGAGCTGTCAGGAGTGGACCAGCACATGTCCAAGTGGATTCTGGACTACCTCAGTTGTTGCCCACAGTATATCAGGGGACCGGGCTGAGTCTCAAATAGTTTGGTTTTCAGTACGGGGGTCCCACAGGACTGGCAACGTTCCTCCTTACCCTTTATACTGCAGACTTCTCCACCAACTCCATGCTGCCACCACCAGGAGTTCTCTGACGATTCTGCAATAGTTTGCCTCATCACAGGAGTACAGACAGTGGATCCAGAACTTCATGGTCTGGTGTCAACAGAACCACTTCATGATTAATGCAGGGCAAACCAAGTAGCTAGAGGTGGACTTCCACAGAAGCAGATCCACTCCACTGACACTGGTGAACATCCAGGGAACATACATTGAGATAGTGGACTCTTATAAGTACCTAGGTGTTCATCTAAATAACAAACTGGACTGGACTCACAAGACCTAGGCTCTGTATAAGAAAGGTCAGAGCAGACTCTTTTCTGCTGAGGAGACTGAGGTCTTTGCAGTGCAGGACATGCTCCTAAAGACCTTCTATAACTCTGTTGTGGCATCAGCCATCTTCTATGGAGCTGTTGGTTGGAGCAGTGGCTTATCTGTAGCTGATAGGAAGCAGCTGGATAGGCTGATGCAGAAGGCCAGCTCTATGATTGGATGCCCTCTGGACCCAGGAGGTGGGAAACAAAAGTATCATAACTAAATTAACACCTCTGTTGGATGTTTCCCACCCCGTGCATTAAGCTGTTAATGAACTAGAGAGCTCCTTCAGCGTCAGACTGCTGCACCCTAAATGCACCAGGGAGCGTTATCACAGATCCTTCCTCCCAGCAGCTGTAAGACTCTATAACCACCACTGTTCCCAAAAACCTCAATAAGTTGTGGCATTCATGCTTATATTGCAGTTCCTGCCTCATTCAGTTAAATAACATGCTGCTGTCATTTTGCACATCTCTGATGTTGCTGCTATTTTCAAATATCCATTACTGTAAAAATGTCCATAGTTGTATATTGGTTATTTATTCTCCAGATGCACAGTTTTATATTTTCAAAACACTTTACAGTACAGTATTTTATTGTTTATCTCCATATTATTGTTTAACTCTTCAGTATTATATTAGTCTTATAAGTATTTCTACGGTCCACATTTGTGTGACCATTTTTTTTAAATAATCTTTTTGTTCCTGTAAACACCAGAATTTTCCCATTGTGGGACCATAAAGGGATTTATATTGTATTGTAAAAGAGATTCACAAGAAGACAAATTAGGATATTCCTAGTTTAAGTCTTTCGCTGGAATAACCATGAAAAGAGATGATCCTTTACCTCCTTGTATACACGCTAGTTAGGGGTGTAAATCACACCCATCATGGCGATTCGATTCAGTATCGATTTCCTGACCCAACAATTCCATTATTTTCGATACTCAAGAATACACCACGATACGATTCGATTAATTGGTTCATTTTTTTTTTTTTTTTTTTACACCTTACAGGCTAGACAATGTTTCAAATTTGACATAAATCAATGAAAGCTGTAATATCGTTATGCATTTTTTTGAGAAACAACAGCAAATAACAGAAGTAGAAAAATTGCATAAAAAAATACTGCACAAAATCAGTGCAATGAGTGCAATTCTGGATCTCCGCTCTTTTTGGCCCTCATGTCCCTCTGTCTTCGTACTAAACTCGCCCCCACTTTCTCACCGCCTCGGCCGTATCTAGACCCACAGCGTGTAGCACAGACCACGCTTCAATATTGAGCATAAATCAAAAATGTCTGTGTCAAGCTCACTGCAACACACTGCTGTAAGAGTATAACCAGGAAGCGAGGTAGGAGCGCAAAATAGGTTTAGCGCCACCGCAGCACGGGAGGGAGAATTACGCCCAGGAGCAAATGGATAAAAATATACCGGAGGGAAAAAAAAAAAAAGAATCGATACTATCGTGGACGTATCAATGCATCGGATCGTCGGCAGTTGGATCGATACATCGATACAAAACTATTATTATTTACACCCCTAACGCTAGTCATCCTGATTGAGAAATATTCTCAAGTGTGCAGCAACAGGGTCGGCCCAGGCATCAGCACAAATCCTCTCTGTGATAGGAAGCTCACTCGAACCAGAAAAACAGCGAAACCCCAGAGTCCCTAACAGAGCTGTTTTTTATGCTTGACTCACAAATGGTTGGGGTGACATTAATAAAAAAATACTATGTAGGGAAAACACACAAATTAAATAATAAAATATCTAAAACAGCACAGAAAGAACTAAAATATGGCAAATTCAAATAAACTAGAAATAAATCAATCAAATCATTGCTTTTTGCAATGATTTGCAATGATTTTATTGCGTGTTTGGATAATATTTGAAATTAGGTCTAATCTTTTGCTTATCTTTTCATTTCTAGTACCTGGAGCTGCGCTTTAACCGGGTGATTCGGCTCATTGGAACATCAATGTACATTGTGCAAACGGTAAAGCATGCATGCTTAATTAAAATAAGATAAGGATTCAGGCCAATCATAAAGATTAAGCTTTTTTTTCCCAAATAAGACAACAAACAAAAGAAAAACAAAGCCTCTATGATGCAAATATAAAATTACAAAAAGCATCTGCTCTCTTCTCCTTTTACATCATGCAATACTGATTATAGATATGTGTACCATGGTGATGTGAATATTGTAATACATCAATTCTCTGTATGCAGCTCATTTATTGATGGTGCTGTTTTTCAGGCCCTCTACACAGGTTTGGTCATTTATGCTCCAGCTCTTGCACTAAATCAAAGTAAGTCTTCTGTCGGATCTTCTCACACTGATTCAGCAGTTATAAATTGATGCTTAATGATAAATTAAATAATAAACAACCCACAGAAAGATGGAGAAAAGCTATATGGAATGGATATTTGTTTAAAATAGCACATTTTATCTGAATGTTTAGTCACAGGGCTGGATCTCTGGGGAGTGCTGGTGGCAACAGGGGCAGTATGCATCGTCTATTGTACATTGGTTCGTATTTCTTTAATTATTATTTCACAATAAACAGGGATTGCACATACCTAATTTAATGCAAATTTAAAACAAAAGAAATAGAGGATTTAGTCTTTAACTCAGAGTTAGCATGACTACTGTAGATCTAACAGTTGTGCTGTTAGCATGAAAAAAGACCACATTTGAACTTTGAGGTTATCATATCATATATTGGAGGCTGTGATATGAATGATATCTATCATTGGTGTGATAAATCATTGATCGAGAACTAATGTGTCATGGATGACCTAAATTAGCATAATTTTATTAGTATTGAAATATGATTTCTGTATCAGGGTGGCCTGAAAGCAGTTATCTGGACAGATGTGCTGCAGATGGTGATCATGCTGGCAGGATTTGTAGCTGTTATAGCAAGAGGAGCTGTACTACAAGGCGGCCTGACAAGAATCTGGAAAGATGCTGGCGAAGGAGGCCGACTGAAGGCCTTTGAGTATGTGCACAGCAGTTCTTCTAAATATTGTTTAAACTTACATCAAAGTAGTCACACTTTCCAAGTCGGAGGACAAGAAACTAAAGAAAAACTGCAAGCATTGAGTGTTTTAGATAGAAACCCTGCTCAGCCCTCAAAGTATATCCAAAGAAGGAAACACCTGAAAGAAAAGAAAGGCAATATGTGTTTGGGCATGTTCTAAACTCTCTCACACTGTTGAACTTTTCCAGCTTTGATCCAGATCCTCTCAAGCGCCATACTTTCTGGTCCATAGTGATTGGTGGCAGCATAATGTGGGTTTCTATCTACTCAATCAACCAGTCCCAGGTGCAGCGCTACATCTCTTGCAAAACCTTGGGACACGCCAAGATGTGAGCATAACCACACTGTAATTCATATGCACCTTTGGCAGTGAGCACAGGTTCATGTGCTAACAAGTCATATCTGATCCTCCAGGGCTCTGTATGTTAACATGGTTGGTTTGTTGACAACAGTGAGTCTTGCTGTGTTCTCTGGTCTCACTATGTACTCCATTTACAAAAACTGTGACCCACTTACAAATGGGGACGTAAAAACTTCTGACCAGGTGACTGATAGCATTTTCTACATAACTGACAATCACATGTATAATACGCCTTTTGGCTGAGTTTGAAAACAAGGTTTGACAGAAAAAATTGGGTTGTATTTGTGAACTAGCTGCTGCCATACCTTGTGATGGATATCCTGGGAGCCTATCCTGGAATTCCTGGCCTGTTTGTGGCTGCAGCTTACAGTGGGACCCTAAGGTAAGCCTTGAAACAAAGAAGGAAAAAGATATTTATAGAAATTATGTCATCAGTAAATGCTTCTTACTGATAAGGATTAATTTTTTACTTTTAAGACACGACTTTGTCACGTCAACAGATACGTTTTACAGCTTTTAACCTAGGAGTCATACACACCATCCCATACTTATGTATGCAGTTATTTTTGCACTAATCCTTTTCTGATTGACTTTACTAAACTTTTGCCTTTACACATTTTCAGCACTGTGTCCTCAAGCATTAATGCTCTCGTTGCTGTCACTGTGGAAGACTTCATTTTTCCAGTTAAGAAAGATCTAACACAGAAACAAGTGAGCTGGATGAACATGGGCCTGAGTGAGTTTTAAAGATTCATATTTTATGTTCACACATACATCAACCAAGTATATTGACCTTTGAGAGACTAAGAAAAGCAACAGTTTCCATTATCTTATCTTATCTTAATGGTTGTTTTTTTGGTAGATAAAAAGTATTTGAACTTCCAGTTCAATGTACTGTAGGATAACAAATAAATGACTGCTGCCTAACAACTGTGAAGAAGCAGACAATGCAGAGTATTTTGTAGGTAATTCACACGAGCGTATTTCCAGAAGCAGGTTTTTAATTCCAGCAACTTGCAGAGTAGTTTGACAGCTCTACTGAGAAATGCATCAAAGAGTAATTTGGTTCTGAGAAGGCTTTTGCAACCCAAATGAAGGGTGGGGCTCCCTGAGACAAATTCTACATACCTGCTCTAATTTAGTAAAAACGCTTCCACTAAAAGGCTACTGCACTCTAAAATATACCTATTTCCAAAATTAGATGATATAGTTTTCATTATAGCTTGCATATAGATTCTAAGAACCTAATTTAAAATTTAGCATTCCCCCAGCGAGCCAAAATGTTGCTTTTTTTTGTTGATTATGGGAAAGAATATATTTGCCAATGCTAAGACTATTCTATAAAATATAATTTTTTTATTTTATCTCCCAACACCCAGGTGTGTTCTTTGGAGGTGTGTGTATTGGAATGGCTGGAGTTGCTTCAGCAATGGGAAGTGTTCTGCAGGTATAACTCTCATTTAACATAAACCATCTGCTGCGATTGTTTTTAGCTCAACAGCACCACCAAGTGGTAAGTCTGAAGAGCTACCAGTTGATTTTTTTTTGTTCTATGTTCAGGCAGCTCTGTCCATATTTGGTATGATCAGTGGACCTCTTCTTGGCCTATATTTTTTAGGCATTCTTTTCCGCACAACAAATCCAACAGTGAGTCTTTTTATATAACTGGAAAGTTTTATTGCACAACTGAACTGCTGGACAACAAAGCATTGGCTGTAGAAAAAGGAATGTGACACCATGAGATGGAAGTTGACTGAGGTCATGTTTACCTTTCAGGGAGGACTGGTTGGACTGATCGTTGGGCTGGCGTTGACCCTATGGGTGGGGATTGGAGCTCAGCTTTACCCACCAACACCTGACAAGACACTTCCCCTTCCTGTCACCACTGTAGGCTGCAACAACACAATGGACCTAAACAACACGACAGCAACTCCATGGACCAGTTCAGCCATCCCGACAACACAACCAGAGTTGGTCATTTTACATAAAAACAGGGAATTTTTTTTCTTTAGATGTAAAGAATTTATTATTTTAAACCAGGCAGATTATTCAAGGTGAAAAACAGATTTGAAATATGTGTTGTGATATTGCTATTACCAAATTACCCTCCCCATAAATGACACAGCTCATTCCACGTTTCTCTAAAACAACAAGTTGAAAGATTCAAAGTTTTCTCAACAAATTAACCTCTTAACATCTACCTCATTTTGGGTAATCCTCACCTATTTTGCATATCCAAATTGAAAAGTAAATAACTTAGGAACTGTAAGCCCAAATTACATGTGCAATACATAGTTTGAAAGCTAACACCCTCTAGTTTCCTAATAGACAAATTGAAATTGCACAGACCAATCTGCATCAGTTCAACATGACTCAAAGTTGTTGTTTTTTTTGGATAGGTCTTTTTTGAACAGCAGTAATAAAGACATTCTTGAGAAAAGGCTTTATTGTATTTTATTTGTTCTACATCATGTAGAACAATAGCTCCACCTGCTGATAAAAAAATTACCAGTGGAATTTTATGCATTCTGAATTACCTGATCAATAATTATCTATTATTTTAAGTGAATTTTACTGGCAAGCACTAAATCTATTAATTTTTTGTCAGTTTAAGGCCTCCATTAGCAGACACCTGGTACTCTCTGTCCTACGTCTACTTTTCTCTTTTTGGCGTGTTGATCACGGTGGGGACGGGCCTTCTCGTGAGCATAATCACAGGTTAGAGTTCACTTCTGATGCTCTGCTTTTGATAGAGTGAAAGAAGAACCATTAATGTTTAATTTTAATGGTTAATAAACAGAGGAACAAGTTGTTTTTTTTTTCAATTTTATAGGTGGATGCAAACAAGAGAAGATGAACTCTGACCTCTTCGTAAGAAGAGCTGACTTGATATGCTTCCGTGGCTGCAGTAAATCAAAGGTAAAATGCTGACCCTGGCATGTTGTTAGATAATAGGTAACGCAAAAAACCAAGTATGCCTTCCTAATGTTTCATTCTGTTATTAACCTACTGCAGGAATCTAGAGAGATGGAAAAGGCTCCAACAGACCTTCACATGGGAGTTGACAACAAAGCATTTACAGAAACGGATATGACAATCAAAGAATCTGAAATTTCTACAAAACTATAAGGCTGTTGATATTTGTACTCATTAAACACATCTAAAATATTTAACGGGCATTTTTTTAAAAGAGAAATTATTTTCTCTGATAATGCAAATATTAAGAATTTGATCATTTATATTTAAACTGCTTAAAAGAAACCAAATATTTTACATAAATAGATCAAAGTCAAAAACAGTTTCTTATTTTTATGTACTTTTTTAAGTAAAAACAAGGCATCTTTACAGCACCAGGTTACCATCTCTGAGCGTCCATTGATTATACCTCCATTTCATATTTTAGCTGTGCTTTTGCAGTATTGTAATCTTGCACTTTGTTTTGTTTTTATGAGTGATTTACAAAAAATACTGCCTACCTGACTTTTTTTTCATACTAAAGCAGAAATACACTTACTGTTTGTTAAAAGTCATTATTTGTTTGAAATGAAGGCTGAATTGTGTGTTTTTTTTTTACATGAAAACTCTTCACTCTATGGAAAATATTTCTACTTTTCAATAAATATTTTGTACTGTTTAAATTTACCTCACAGACTTCAAACACATACATTCTGAATTAACCATTTACCAGAGTTGATGTGATAATAAAAAATATAAGAATAGAGTTTTACAATGCAGGTAACACTAATGTTTATGTGTCTGTTTATTAATGGTTATAAAACGCATGTTAGCTAAAGGGTAGAGCATGAGCTTTGGACTGTCTGTGAGTGACCAATCCCTTGTCTCCTTGGAAACAAACAAAAGAGGAAGTTGACAAAGAACTGCCCTGCCCACTTTTACCTGTCTCTGAGCCAGATAATCTGTCTTGAAGCTGTTCCAGGAAGAGTCTTTGTTTTAGATGCAGACTCGGAACCAAGGAACTGCGTAAAAATCTAACTTTTCACCCCTCAAAATATAAGGTGAGGTACCATTTCTTGGAATTTGTACCAGCAAACATTATAATCATCTAAGCAGGATGTAAGCTTTAGTTTTTACGCTAAATGAAAGCATAAAAATTAAAAAGTAATCGCTCCAGCTAAAGAGGTTGCGAAGAGCAGTCGAAATGCATTTCTAATATTTAAAAACAGAAAACCTGACCACTAACATAAGCGCAGTGAACATACTTTAATTTCCATACTGACAATTATTGCTAGGATTTAAAGGCTGAGCTCTATTAATTATTTCAGGCATTTATAGAGAGATTGATGAGTTCATCTTCCAAGCATTGCATGTCTTTTCAGTATCCATGTTTTTTCTGCCCAGTACAGGATATACAAGCTATGGAAACAATCTTGGCACCCCTAGTTTTCTACCTCCTATTAATGTCTTTTCAAAAGGCTCATACGGAAAACCTGACTCTATTTTCAACGACTGATTTAAACCTGACGGAGTTCAGTACAACCACAGCTTCATTTGACTCCACTGGAACTCAAACCGAGGAAACGGATACATACACCAGCACAAACCCGAACAATCAAACCTTCACCACCACACTGGCTTCAACTGAAAACACAAGTGAACATCAAACGCCTCAGTCAGCTACCACCATGACTTCATCAACAGAGTTACCAACATCACAATCTTCCGCATCTTCCACGCAAGCCAACCAGACTACAACAGCTTTCATTAGTACACCTGACACGCCAGAAAGTTCAACTGTAAATTCAACTCACAGTGTCACAACATACACATATCCACCAAAGAGCACAGAAGGTAAGCATCTGTGTTAAACAAGTTCATACCCACTCCTTCCATTTGCTATGTCAGTGTTGTCAACACCTTACCTTTCTATATCATTAGGTTTGAAACTTAACATTTCTGAGAGGAATCTGACTATAATCTTCAGTGGTATGCTTGGTCTCTTTGCTTTGGCAACGGTTATGATCATGCTTTACAAATGCAAGCATAAACTTCAGTACCTGCATCAACCTCTTCACACCACAGATGACACGGGTAAGACTGATGCTTTTCATGTAGCGAGTCCAACCTATTGCAGTAAACATTATCACTTAAAGCTACTACTCTATGTTCAACAGATGGATTCACAGTCGATGAGGACACCCTTGTTATTTCCGGAGGACTTTATGATGGCCATCCGATCTATGACAATCTACCACCCCCTCATGAAGAACAGTCACAATTTCGCCTGGAATTCCGTCATTAAAGAAAAGATCTGAAATCACCAATGTGTTTGATGACTTACTGACATGGAAAAAAAAACAAAAAAAAAAACATTCTCATCCAGGGAGTCCTATTAGAAGTTGGGACCTGTGAGTAGAATTATTTTCCATACGTTAATAAAAATGTAAAACAAAATGAATACCAATGGTTTAAAAAACTGTTATTCATGAAACACCTTTATTACCTTCACCACTGTATTTATTCATTACACCAATAATAAATGTATCAGGATTTAATAACTACAGTTAATGCCAAATTAACAATAAGATATATTGAGAATAAATTCATTCGATAACTTTCTTCAAACAGCAATACATCTTTTCTGAAAGAAATTAAAGCAAAGAGGGTGACTTTGTCTTCACATCTGATCAACTTCTACAGTGTTTTTTCCTGAAATAAATTATACAATTCTTGGTATAAGAACAAATATTAGGACTAACAATCCTCAAAGAAGGTATAATTTTTTTCTGTTTAGTATGGCTTCAATTAGAACGTTACCACATTAACACAGCAAACTAACTACAAAGTCAACCAAAGCTAACAACAAGCGATACAAATTAAAACTTTTAGCAAAACAGCTAAAGCATTTTTACAGAATTTATAACAGAGAACTTGACCTTGTAGTCAAATGGGTCAACTGCTAAAGTAAATGAACAATATTAACTATTCCAAATGAAGTATAACTGAATAACACTAAAACTACGAAAGCTCATAAAATCTTTTCATGTAGATATGAGAATTATTCTATTAGAGCTAGATCCAAAACACCACCAGCCTATAACTATCTGCTTACCTGACCTGTACAGACAATACTTAGGCAAATATTTTCTCATTGGTCGTCTTCTTTTTCTTGTCAGAGCCAGTGACAGCAGTCCAACCAGCATCTCTAATTCTTTTCATTGCAGCCAGCTTTATGGAATTTACAGGTGTTTTAACATCGATGGGGCTCTGAATCTGGGAAAGTGAAAAAACAAATAAAAGAAAGAAAATGTAAATTCTTTCTCATCTCATCTTAACAATATCATGCTGTCCAGCATAATAATTAGACACACTACTATTGTCAGTTTACCTTTTTGTACATGTTAATTTTGCGCTGAAGAGCAAAATCAGTCGGTGCTGGGTCATCTGCACAGGTCTATCGCAAAAAGAAAAGGCTTCATGCATCTTTGAAACGTTTCAGAAATAGTAACATTATGTGTTAAACCAAACAGGTTTAGGACACATTTCAACAGATAAAAGCAGTACTCACAACCATATCTATATGATCTGAGCTGTCAGACTTGGAGTCCTTTTCAAAGATGCTGGTTCCCCACCATCCTGCTTTTTCATTTAGGGGGGGTGTTTTTACTCTGTACGACTGTGAGAGGAAACCACAAAGGAAAAAAATGTGTTTTTGTTCCCTGGGGAAAATGTAAAAGCATAAACTATGCATAACTCTAATCTTCGATAGTCCATCAATCTTACTTTTGTCACCGAGGATATAGTATGTTTGTTGTAAACAAGCTGTAAAACAAAGTCAGATTTATTAAAATTGGTTAAAAACAAAGTTTATTACCTTCACATAGCAGCAATTCTCAATTTCTGTTTAAAGCTACAGTGTGTAACTTTTAGCGACATCTAGCGGTCAGACTGCAGACTGCAGCAACATGAACATCTCCCCCCCACCGCTTCTCCCCCCCAACAGTACGGCGAGCGTTACGGGACAAAATGTCTTCCACGACGTCCGCATCACCTACCTTCTCAAAGGATGAGGTTTGTTTACATAGATAATTTTCAAGATAGTATTTCATTAGTCTGTGTAGGGTATAGATTTCATGTAGACTTAAGATAATAAATATACCCGTTATTTTTTCTACATCGTTGTGACGTTTTGGCGATCTCGCAATCGCTAGTTTGTTGGCTCTGCGCTGCCGTAGTGCAAAGATGTCTGCCTCCATGGCTGCGAGACCCGCTCCTATGTAATTATAAATAACGAATTCTAAGGTAACGCAAATATTAAGGTTAAGAGGCTGAGCTCGTAGATGATGATAAATAACAGTTATGTATAATATATTACATTTCTGACTGTATATCCCTGTAATTATTACACACTGTAGCTTTAAACCAGAAGCAGAAGATTATTAAACACTTGAAATGCTGTTTACCTTTCTCCTTGCTGGTGTTTCACATGTTGTCTTGGTTATTTTATTGGCTGACACCTGACAGATAACAGAAAAACCCAGTGCAAAAATAAATGTCAGATATCTGAAGATGGAATACAGCTGAGGAAAAGCAGTTATGTTTAAAATATTGGCCGTTTCCCAATTCATAAGAATGCGAGTGTGGACTCGTGTCCTCGCCAAGTATGTTCTTGAGAAGAACACAGGAAAGTATGGACTCGGGGAGAATGGGAGCACGCAGCATAAATATGGGTCAATTGGAACAGAGGCGTACTCGTGACGTCACCACATGCCCGGCTCGTCTAGAGCTGCATTTCACATCCTGTTATTAATAGTCTCTAGATAATAATATATTATTACTTTTTTCATTTAGTGGGGGAATAATAATTAACACATTCAAATAAACCAGTGTTTTCCATTAATAAACAAGACTGTGGCGGCCTGCTCCGGATATAACCTAACCGAATATCTTCAGAACAGCTCCAAATGACACAAAACTCATATGGGTGAGTAGAACATGATGTAATAACGTAAAATCAAGGGGCTAATGTAGAAGAAAAAAAACGGCGTTCCCCATTAGGTGCATTTTTGAGGGCACTTTTTCTTTTACTTTTTCTTTTTTCCCTTGTGGTCCACTAAGGAGCCTACAAATCATTATCTTAGAGAGGAAAACACAATGGACAAGTCGATTAAGTGACTGTTCTCGGTCTGCTGTTCTTGTGAATTGGAACAGTTCACAAGTTGAGAAACGGCCAGTGTAAAATGGCATCAGAGGAATTCTGGGAGACACCTCTGGAGGCGGAAGCAGCCTTTTGCCAACACTGTTTTTAGTGGCAGGGAGGAAATGCTGCCTGTAAAGGAAACGATGAAGGGAACACTTTGAGGATCTCCTCAACCTCAAAACTTTCCGTGGCGGAGGAAGAGACAAGGTGCTCAGAGCCAGACTTGTTTATCACCTTGGCTAAAGTCATTGCTGGCATTAAGTTGGACCTGTTTCAGGTAAATGTTGAACTCCGGTAGGGCTTTCCTCCATCACCGATCTTGGTCCTAACCTTTATGGACAGGATTTTTAGGTTCAGCCCAAATCCAGGAGACTAGATTGGGACCAGCAGATTTTGTTTTAGCTATTTGCAGATGACGTGGTTCTGCAGGCTCCCTCCTGCCAAGACCTACAGCATGCACTGGGACACCATCATTCTACGTTCCGGTCTTATGGTCATTAAAACTAGATAATGACCAAACAAGGGTGGCTGGGGGGCCTAGAGATAGGGTGCGGTGCTCGGTCTACTGGGAGAGGATGGGTGTAGAGTCACTTCTACTCCACGTTGAGAGGCGTTAAGATGAGATGGCTCACACATCTTTTTCAGATACCCCCTTGACGCCTCCCTCAGTGTGCTCCCCTAATATGTCAACCATCAGTCAATGATAACTCTGGAATCTATAATGCATTAAAAGTTAAAACTTACAGCTTTTCTGGGAACTGCAGGACTCCTGTTTGATGTTTTCTTGGTCTTGGAGAAATCGTACGTCTCTAAAGAGCCTTTCTTTGGAGTATTATGACCTAGCTCTTGTTTAGAGTCTGAAGCATTTGACTAGAAAGTAAAAGACAATTTAATTGACATGCACAGATTATAAACAATGCTACCAGTGCCAAACTGAGTGCTGGCATTACCTGCTTGTTCTGTAGTTGTGAAAACAGCATGTCATTTGCAGTACGTTTTGCTTTATTCATTTCAGTCATCTCTTTTTGTAGATTTTCCTTAAAAAGACCAAGACACTTTTAAGCTCTTTCAAAAGACATTTTTGTTTTCAAGGCCTTCAAATATTTTATTTAAACAAGGACCAACCATCTCCGATCCTTTTGTCTTCAACTGTTCCTTTAGCTGCTCATTTTCCGTCCTTTGTTTCGACAGGTCCAACTCCTTATATGGGATTTATTAAAAGAAGTGTTTATGTTTTCTTTATAGTGAAATTGCAATGGTTAAAAATAATTGCAATAAAAAAAAAAAGCATACCAGTGATTTTGCAAGAGCGACTGCTTCGGTCTCTTTCATCTTGCTTTTACCCAGCTCTGTGTCCTTCTCTTCAACCATGTGCTCATACTGTCTCTAGAAATAACAAATCAGATGTTTTCATATGCAGCAACAACACTTTTTAAAATACAAAACAACTTCTTTATACACTACCTTGTGTTTTTCCATCAATGCGACCATTTCTGAAATCCTATGCTGGCACCTGAGCTCTGCCTCTTCTCTGTTCTTAACGGCCTCTGCTGATGTTAATTTCAGCTTTTGAACCTTTTGACAGGAATTGTTCTGATGTTAATCTTGTCATTTAGGGTGGTCAGAAAAAAAATGTATTGTATATATTGTACTAACCTCATTTTCAAGCTCTGCTGTTAGGATTGATTTTGATTCAAGATCTTCAATTTTTTTTTGATAGTCTTTCTGTATCTGTGTCTCGAGCTCCTCTGTCTCACTTTGAAGCTTTTTAATCTAAGGGGGAAAAAATCAATTGATCTACATTAAATAGTGTAATTAACAGAATAAATGTTTATTGATATTATCCTTTTAAATTCTAAAAAAAAAGCTTGAATATAGATGTCCTACCATCATTTCGAGATGACTGGATTTAGCAGTTTCTTTTATGATTTGCTTCTTAAGCATTTTATTCTGAAAGTTTGAAAGATTATTGTTTTATTCAGAAATATTTATATATTTTGCTAAATATCTGAAGTTTCATTATCACATACTTCATTTCTGAACTCCTCCTGCAGTTTAAGTTTCATTTCAAATGTCTTCCTCAGGTTGAGAAGCTAAATAGCAAATAAGTTGTTAGCTCCACACAATAAGAACATGTTTGACGAGTTTAACTAGTTTATAATTTGCATTTTTCTATACTAGCCTTTGCTTCCACAGCTTTTATTTGTTTCTCCTTTTTCGCAATTTGTTCTTGCAGGTTATTGCACTGTTATAGAAATGCAGGAAAAAAACAATTATCTTGAGAATTGTAGATGTATCTATTTCATACTGTTTAAGGGAGTACTCACAACTCCTTCAGTTTCCTTTTGGATATTTTCAATTTCTTGAAATGTTTCCTGGATTCTGGATGTGATCGTACTCATCTCATCTCTATTCAAACAAAATTGAACTATATGACTTCAAATTCACATACATTTTTCAAGATGCTCTACTGGGAACTTACCTCAAATGCTGATTTCTTTCTTCCAGTTTTTGTACCTCCTTTTCGAGTTTTACAATCTTCTCCTCACTTACCTAAGTAAAAAGTTTTTCACTCTTTATTAATCATTTAACGGCGGAAGAACAAATGTAAATTATAACTACCTTTATCAGCAATATAGCAGTTAGGAAGGCAGGGAGGAAGATAGGGGAAGGCTGATGATGAAAAGGAGGAGGGCAAAAATAAAGGAGGAAAGGAAACAAAGGTGTTATAAAGAAGAGACAAAATTCAAAAGGAAAGAAGGGGAAGAGCACAGAATGAGGTGAGTTTGAGACGGCACAACGAAAAAGGAATCTTAAATTAAGATTACTACATGGTGGGAATGAAGTGATGAAGTCAGGAAAACACAAGTGACAAAGTGAGAATAAAGAGGAAAGGGAGAGGGAAATAATGGACATAAAGGAACAGCAAAACAGACAATAAAAGGGATGAGTTTAAAGAGCCAATTGTAGGTGAAATCTTTAACAAAATAACTAAGTGTTGTCTAATGGATTATATTTGAAAAGTTTCCAACAGGATTTAAAGTGTTTTGGCCGCCATAATTAACTAAATTTACCAATAAAAGTGACATTTATTAGCAGTGTCTCTAAAAACTGCTTTTTTAACTCATCACATTTGAATCATATGGGAATGTCAAATAGTATGCACTGCTACAGCTCTGTTTGGAGAGTAGGTAGTTATCATGTAGAGTGGACGTATAGTTGAGCTTGGTATAGGCATGACCATAGGATTGAGGTCCAACCTGTGTAAAGTTGTACATATTTAAAGTTTCTTTGTTGTCTGAATTAGCATTGGTATCCATTTTTTTAACGCTATAAAGCTAAGTAAACTCCACCACGTCACGTCACTTCCAGTGTCAGTTTTTAGATATGAAAGTAGCATTTTCTCAGAAAAACAACACAAAAAGCCTAAATAGGTTCATATACCGGTATAAAAACTTTTTGATTCAAAAACCAATTCCATACTGATAAAACTGAGGCTCTAACCTGCAATCTGCTCTTTAACGAAAGAAAGAAACAAGGAAAAGAAAGGAGACACAAGGAATAAACCAAGAAACAAAGGAAAAAGAAGGCATAAAAGAAAAGACGAATGAATAAATAAGGAAAAGGGAGAAAAAAAAAACAAATTATAAATTACGTCTTCAAGAGGCACCGGCCAAAAAAAATATTGGAGAAAGAGTACAAGGAAGAAGAGTAAGATGAAAGGATACAACTTCAACAAGAGTGAAATAGGATGTGTCAGAATATGTTTTCATTTTACCTATTTCAGGCCTAAAAAAAAAACTTCAATAAAATTAAATTTTTATCTATGAAGTATCGGTAGGCCTACTCTAAATCAACCACTATAGTATATTGTTTCATTTTAAAACAACAAATAAAAATACAAGGAAAGAGAAATAAAAAGCAATGGTCATAAAAGTATGTACAAACCTCAGCTAAAGCAGCCTTCCTTTGTAAATCTTCTTTCGCCCTCTCAACATTTTCATAAGCGTCCTTGAGGAGACAATTTTCTGCTAACACCATCTCTTTTTCATTCTGTATCAATAGACAGCAATATTGAAGGTCACATGTTTTATCTAAGTATGTGTCTCATGCAGTTTCCTTTACAAAAATACACTTTTTTTTGCATCACCATCAATCTCTGACTTTCTTCTGTTTTCCTTAACAGCTCAGAACCAAGTCCATACACTCTGGCTTCCAAAGCATCAATCTTGTTCTCCAACAACCCAGTGGATTTTGATTTCATATCCTAAGAATAAAAATTAGTATCTGCTGCTCCTAATATCTTACATTGTGTATTACAATGTGTATTTTTGAATAAAAGACAAATACATCTTACCAGTTCTTCCTTAAGCATCTTAATCATATCTTCCTTCTTAGCAGATTCATCCATTGTCTCACCTGAAAAGTGATGAAATTGGCTTGAATGGACAACGAATATTATACAAATGCCCACATCAATCATCCAATGTAGATTACCTAAAAGTTTGAGATTTCTTTCAAGCTCACTGCTCTCCATCATCAATTTATGCTCCAGATCTTTGACCCTTGAACATAAAACATTTTATGAAAAGTAAAATACAACAATTCAGTCTTTCAACAAGCGGTTGGTTTTAAGGAATGTATTCAACCTTTGCAGTTCTAGACCAAGGGAGTCCTTTAATTCTTTGATTGTTGTTTCCATCTTCTCAATTTTTTCTGCCTGTTGAATCTTTCCCCTTGTGAGGTCTTGTATGTTGAGGTCTTTGTTTCTGATAATCTCTTCATACTCCTTTTTACTTTCAACCAGGGCTGCAGCTGCTTTTTCCTCTTTTTGCTGCATTATGTTTCCAAGATTAAGGTTTTAATTACAACATAAATAACTTAAGAGCAACAATTTACTCTCAGTGACATCTGTACTACTCGCCTTAAGGTCTTCACAGCGTTGCTCAGCACTGTCCAGATTGTGAAGAAGGGATTCTTTTTCCGTTTTCAAGCTTTTTAGAAGTTCAGATGTTTGCCCTGTTAAAATATGTTGTCAATGTTATAAATAAAGGTATAATAGTACGGATAGGTACGCTACAATACAGCTTAGCCCAGAAAACAGCCCAAAATATGAATCACATAAAGTGAAAGGCGTTCATTTAATACTTTAATTATTTGTTAATAGTATAGGCAAAGCTTAACTGAAATTTTTGTCACAAAGAAATTCTATAAACTCCATCCTTACTTTTAGTATGTTAGGTTTTACGTATTTTAATTAAGAACAAAAATGTTAACCATGTTTCTACACTCATGATCCATATTCATTTGTACAATAAATCTTATTTATTTGAAATACATAAATTTGGTATTTTTATTTAGCATTAGTAAATTATGCTTGATCAAATTTAATACCAACTGTATTCATTACAAAGGAGTTCAGTTTATTGTTTGGATTGCATAAAGGTAACCCGATCATTATGCAGTTCAGACAAATAAACTTTCCATTCATCCATCTTCTCATTCGATTATTCCGACCAGAGGGAATACGCAGGGATAAAATTAATAACATGAAATAATCCTTTAAAGTTGCCTGAAATATTACATGTGTACAATTGTACACATAGAAAAAGCAATATCCATGATCTTACTTTTGGAGTCTTGCAGTTTTTCACAGCACTTCTGAGATTCATTAAGGTTCGACAATGCCTTCAGAAGCTCATTCTCCTTATCCTCAAGCTGTTTCTGATGCATTTTTACCTGAAAAAACGAATCAAACACTTTGGTTTTCTGTTTAAAATAGCCCATTTAGCTAACACTCCTCAAGAAACTTTAAATAAATAATTTTTAACGAACCATTTTATCTTTCATTGAAAGTTCCTCATGATATTTATCTTTCAGATCTTCAAACTGCAACAAGTCTTCTTTCACTGTACAGAAAGCATACCGGTAGTTATTATTCAAGTGAGAATAAATTATTATCACATACTTACACTTCTCTTTGTGGGTCTGTTTACTCAGTTAATTATCTAAATTTCAGAGTACAAAGTTGAATAAGGTAATACATTTAGGGTAGTCCTATTTCTAAACATTTACCTTTCTGCATCTCTTGTTGGTCACCTTTTACTCGAACGCAAAGGGTTTCAAATGCTGAGAGGAGTCCCTGCAAATAACAAAATTGAATAACCATGTCTTATATGACTGAGATAGTATGACAAGCAATTAAAATGTGCTGCAGTAATCTACCTTAATATTCTCACTATTTTCCAGGAAAAGTTGATGCGTTTCTTCCCTTTCAGTTTCAACTTCAAAAAGCAAAAATATGTTGATAATTAAAATGATTTTAGTATCAATGCAAACAGGGTTGTAGCACTGATGTTGTTTTTCTTACATAAATGCGTTCTCTCAGAAGATCTCTGACACGTTTCTCTGAGTATATTACACAAGTTTCTTGTGGCATTGTTTCTGTTTAAATATAAGAAATAACATGTTATAAATACTGGTACAATAGAAAAAAAACTTTTGTATAACTTTTATATAAACAGATACAGTAAATGGAAAAATAAACAGAATCCTAAATACGTTTTTGTGGTATAAAATTAAGTTCATTTAAATTTTTTGTCATTTTCAATATGGAATTTACATTGTATTATTTGACATAAAACAAATATGTATGATAGGCATGCACACTCTTAAACAAATAATCTGTTTCATCCTATTTTGGTTGTAGTCTAAGTAGACAGTCTTTTTAGGATCACACCTACCATCAGATACACTGAATTTGACTAAGCCTTAAAACTCATTGTGCTCTAGATATGAAAACATGAAACTGAACTACTTTCAAACTGAAAAGTAGGATTAAAACGACAGAACTATTTTCTTCAACAACAAACATCTTGGCCTAATTAAAATCTACTAAAAACCTTTCAAAGATGCACCAACGACAGTGTTTAGAGTTTGTATTTCTACAATATGCTAATATTTTTCCTAATATTGTGATAGTGACTATTCAATCTACGAGTCATCAATAAAGAAGCTTGGAAACTTGGAAAAAATGGCAGAATATACAGTGCCTTATTTTTCAATACTGTAAGCCACAGTCTTTGATATTTTTTTTAAAAATACAACAGTGCCGATTCTCAGTTCATTAGAACGCAGTATAAACTCGTGATCTTGGCAATATAGGCTGAAAATGGGCTGCTGCAGACAGGCTAATGTTGGCTCTGGCTGCGGAAAGCCTCGAAAGTCCACTGGTTTCCACGGTCCTCTAAACATCAGAATTTTTTTTTCACTACGTACCGAATCAGTAATAATCAAGCTAAAAGTACAACATCTGAACGTAAATGATCTGAAAACAGTAAACTGACTGATCGATATTGACGTCTCCAACAACACAGAGAAAAGTAACCAGCCGCTTTTCTAAGAAAAAGTCACTACAGGGGCAGAGAGACAAAATCACTGGCAGCAGTTGCTCCCTTGCTCGCTCTTCTTCCTACTCTCCCCAACTTGCTTTTCATCTATGGTGTCATTTTTGTGCCACCGACCTGAGCACGCGTTACCAGTCAGAGTGCACGATGAAGGCGCAGATTAATGCTCCTTAACATGCAAATACCAACAACAGACAAGGTAAATTATGCCCATAGCATAATTATATTATTTCACCAGAGCACAGTTCTTTTCAGACATAAACCAGAGTTTGGCTGGAGCCGAACTGAGACCACCTTCTTGTAGTCTGATGAACATTAGAGTTGTGCTTTAATAGTGACCCAAATAAGAGCAAAGATGCAGGGGTAAAAAAAAAAAAAAAAAAAAAAAAAAAAAAAAGACAAGCTCTGAGTCAAGTTATTGGCTAAGTTTATTATAGTGTTATTGTTAATTTCTGAAGTAGCTTAAGAGAGTGACCTGATATTCTATCTAGGGCTGCAACAAACGATTATTTTAAAAATCGATGAATCGGCCGATTATTTTTTCGATTAATAGATGAATCGGACAAAAAATATTTTTTATATTAACCTCTTTATTCCAAAATAAACATTTTAGACAGAACAAACAAGCACACAAGTACAGGTTGCTCATTAACTGTACTGGTGCAATATGAAAAATAAATGTTTGTGTTAAAACTACAAAAACTTAGATGAGAAATGTAGCTGTACATCCACAAAATATAGGGTACTTTGTTTCATAAAGTGCAAAAAAATTTTTTTTTAATTTTTGTTTTTAAAAGCCCCTAAGGGGTTCAAACAATAGGCCCCCCATTTCAACAAATGAGGTTTTTTTAGACTAGGAGAGTTCTGCCTTTTAAGACAGGAAAGTACTACTTGAGAAAATACTTAACCATAGAGATAAAAATAGCGCTGTGATTCAAATTATAAATTGTATTTGGAATAAAAATGAGAGAACTAGGGGTGCTAAAAAACACATCCTCCAAAGACAGATATTTACATGGGAATGTGGCATATAATTAATTGACATATTACTGATCTTGCTGGATTTTATTCTGCTTTACTTCCATAAATTGCAGGATCTTCTTTACTTTATCTTTGCCAGAAGATTTAAACTTTAAAAGCCTTGCCCTCATAATTTGCAAGGAGAGAGGGACTCCTGCGGGAGCGGGGGGAGGCGCCCCACGGCAGAGAAGGAACGATACATGCTTTCACGTACGAGTCTCCAAAAGCCGCCAGTGACACCGTAAAAAGTCACCAGATTTGTCACTAGTCGCTTTTTTGAAAAATAGTCGCTGGAGGGGTCTGAAAAGTCGCTGAGTTGGCTACACTGCACCTGCAGCGCTGGCTCGCTCTGTCGTATTTTTTTTTCTTCCCCCGTTTCAGTCAAGTGGCAGTGATGACGGCGGCGGCAGATGACGCATTAATCGCGCGACACAACGAATCGATGATGAAATTCGTTGCCAACGCTTTTAAAAGTCGATTTTTATCGATTTTATCGATTCGTTGTTGCAGCCCTAATTCTATCTAATCTTTCAAAGTAGGCACAGTATTACTTTTATTCCTCTTAACATTTTGAATTTAGTTTGAATTGACCTTTTTTAAAATGAAATAAAAATTTTAAAAAGGAAATCCTATGCTTTCATTTGATGATGTTAAATATTCTACATTATGAGCCTAGAACTACCTTGATATGCAAAATGATAGTATTTCATACATGCAATTCAAACCACAAACAATCACAGTTAATTCTCATATATGGTGGTAATTTCAAAATATATTGATTTGCTTTGTTTGGAATAGTTTGTGTGGAATTTTGTTGTGAAAAGAATACATACATGTTTCTTAGATCCTCATTTTCAGAGATCTGTTCATCTAGCTTTGTGCTTAGATTTTCATTGACAAACTGTAAAAATTAAAAGCATTCTGTTAAGTAATATTAAAGCAAAAACAACATTATAACAAAAAAGAAATAAATGCTTGAATATAGCAAGGGTGGAAGCAATCAACAAAGAGCATTGAAGAGCAGCTATCTGTAAGGTACACACCTGCAAATCCTGAATGGCTTTCCGTTGGTTTTCAATTGTTCTTTTGTTATCCTGGAGTTTCCTCTCTTTCTCCACGGTGTCAGTGTCAACTTTGACCTTCCAGGACTTTATTTTCTCCACTTCATCAAAGAGTTTGGTATAGAGCTCACCAGTGCTGGGATTATTCTGGGGTGCACTCTTACAAAATAAGCATTTCAGAAGCAACAGTTTCAAGTTGAATTAAATAAAATATTCTATTTCCCTGAAAAAAAAATAGATATGTTAAGCTCCTGTAACTGGTGAAATATCTTTTTTTTAAAAAGGTAATACACCAATTTACTTAGCCGTTGCTTCTTAATGTCACCTCTTTTTAACAACAGACTAAATATTCATGTAACTGTTTTTCCAGGGCTCAGTTTAACAAGCAGGTTTACTGAGAATTCTAAGTTTTCTAAACCTGAAATATAGGAAAGAGTTTCTCCAGAGCTAACCTGGACCGTTTCTCAATACATAAGAAAGCAAGTATGGACTTGTGTCCTCGCAAAGTATATTCTTAAAAAGAGCCCAGGAAAGTATGGACTCGAGGAGGACGGGAACACGCAGGGCAAATATGGGTCAATTGGAATAGAAGCGTGCTCGTGACGTCATCACACACTCTGCTCTTTCTGGAGCCTCATATCCCCTGCTGTTATTAATATTCCCTAGATAATAATAAATTCTGACTTTTTTCCTTTAGTGGGGGAATAATAATTAACACAGTCAGATAGACATAAATCAAATGAAAATTTTACCAAATGGAAGAAAAAAAATAAAAATTTAGATCAGAGCCAGCGGTACTTCACACCCAGCTGCTGCAGACGGGCTGCGGTTAGCCCTGGCTGCCATTACCCTCGGAGGTCTGCTGGTTGCCGTGGTTCTCTAAACTTTTTATTTTTTTTATTACGCATTAAATCGGTTAATGGGGCATATAGTGAGGCTTTAAAGTATAATATTCTCGCCTCAAATTATCTTAAGATGTACTTTTGTTAAACTTTTAACTTAATACTCTGAGCTCTGTGAGCACTCATTGGAAGCTGCTGCTGCCACAGAGCATGCTGGGACAGCTGTCAATCTCAAGAACGGACAAGTCTGCTCTAATGCACACTAGGGATGGGACGATTTATGAAAACCATCCGAACCGTTCGGTTCGACTGTCTCGGTTCGGTTCGCGTGTGTTTCGTTCGGTTCATGCGCTGCTCCTTTTTCTCATAGAGGAAGCGATTACACTCCAGAGCAGAAGGTGGCGGTACTGCGACCAAAGCCAACCACCAGTAGTAAACAAGAAGAAGAAGAAGCAAAGCAGCTTAGCCGGGTGTAGCAGGGAAAAAAATCAGTTGTTGTGGAGAATTGTGTCGGACTGGCGAGTGGGAAAGAACAGGAGTTGGAAGACGCGCCAGCAGCACTTTATAGGTCTGCTGTATGGGAGCGCTTTGCATTTAGAATGACCTACTATGACGGCGGAAAGAAAGCATTGTGCAACACGTTTTGTTTATGCTAACAGCAACATGTCATGCTAACCCCGAAATCCCTCATACTCCGTCAGCAACCCCCGCTGCGCTCCAGACCGGCTGCTCAAAGCAAAGCCTACAGCCCCCACTGTGGCTTTGTCTGCTCCCCTCTGAGTTCCTTGGAGATGGTAGAGAGCATGTGCCAGATGATTAAATTCAAAGCAGCAAAACATACGGAAATGATCCAGGGTTTCCATGGATCATTTAAAATAATTACAATCCATTATTTTTGGGGGGATTTTTTCATTAATTTCATAATTTTTTATGGAATTTCGGTGTAACAATCAACATGTATCGAATCGAACCGAAAACCGTGACCAAAAACCGTGAATCGAACCGAACCGTGGATTTTGTGAACCGTTCCACCCCTAATGCACACTGTGTAAATAGGGAGAGGCGAGAACAACATCCAGGGACTTTGTCCGTTCCCAGTCTTCTGTTCTTGTGAATTGGAACAGTTCTAGGGCTGAGGTTGATGACGTTTCACGAGCCCATGAGAACGCACAAGTACACAGGCCCTGGTTTATTCAGTAAACTCGGAGTGTCCTCTGTTTCCACTTTCCTTACAGCTAATCACGCTGTTTTATTTCCTAATTTTGTCTGACCTTTAAAAACAAACATTGCACGTCCGTTTGACGAGCATCTTACTAAAGAAAGATCAGCACTTTTTATTTTCAGGTTATACAAAAATAAATTAATTAATTGCTTTTTGATATGTATTAGTTTTATTAACATGTTATGAACATATATTCTTCATATCTGAAAAAAAAAATTAATGTCAAAATGACCATTTGAAACAAAATGACTCTCTTTACATTAAGAATAAACATTCTAGATGTCTAGCAATTTATTTCCGATCTCCATATCCCTATTGTTACTGGTAGCATTTGTATTATTTTGACTATGAAAAAATGTATTTCCGAAATCATAAATACATATTCAGTCAAGCTGATAAATGTCAAAAAAGTCACTTGAAATGTATAAACATTTCTAGGTATATAAAACGTAATTCTTACTGGTTTCTTTTTTTTTACTTTCTGAAATTCAGTTTCTGAAAAGATTCAAAATACTTTACTAATTTTACAGCAGCCGTTGTGAAACCAAAAACTCAGATTTCCCTACCTTAGGCTAGATCTATTTAGAGATGTGAATTTGAACCTGAGTTTGTTAAACCTGCTTCGTGAAACAAACCCCAGTGTTAAACTGCTGTAATCAACATAACCAAGAAGAATTATATATTACCTGGTTTACTGAAGGGCTTACGAGGTTCACCATGCTGATGGGATTACCATGCCCCTGCACTATGCCTTGAGGTCTGACAGAGTGAGTCTGGCTGTGGCTTATCCTGGGAGGCACCAACAGCTTGAACTTAAAACTTCGCTCCTTGTCCATCGTGAACTAAGAGAAACAGCAAAGAAAATATAATATGTCATATCAAAAGTATTTGGAATACGGAACGTATAATTAATATCATTATTTTCACATAATTCATACAATTTAGAGCAATAAAAGCAACAAATAGTGGAACCCCTTTCCTACTTAACGGCCGAGGAATTAGCGGCTAGCTTGTTTTAGCTTTATATTGATTTAGCGTTATTTTTAAATTTCGTAAAAGAGGATATAGAGCTTACATTTTCTTTTAAACAATATCCCTAACAGTTACCAGGGCGGGTCGAACTTTTTTCCTTTTTTTTTTTTAGTTTTGCCAATATTAAAATTATTTTTGACAATGAACAGTTATTCTTACCTTGTGACCGGTTTTAACTGGCTCTACGACGCGAGTCAGGATTCTACGTTAGGCACGGTAACGCGGCTGGCAAAAGTATGGCAAGCCATTTTGACATTTATTAGCTTGACTGAAGCTATATTCCAGGTGTCTCAAATGCATTTCTTCCTACTCAAAATGAACATTTCAGATATTTCAAATGTAAATTTTAGATAGGAGGAGTGTTATTTTAGATATCTGAAATGTTCCTTTTTAGAAAGAAAGGCATTTGAGACATCTGAATATGTATTCAGTAAAGCTCATGAATCTTAAAAGGGCCATTTAAAATTCGTAAAGATTTCTAGGTATTTGAAAGTTTATTCTTACTAGTACAATTATATTTTTTGCAGCCTGAAATGTAGTTTTTGTTGGCAAAAATGTAATTTAGGATATCTATATGTACATTTCTTGCTAGTAGGAATGCAGTTTTGGCTAGGAAGAATCTTATTTTAGAGATCAACAAATGGAACAATGGGGAGGACAGCGCTTCTAATAAATGTCAAATCGGCTTGCCAGAGTTTCGATTCAAACAACCAACAGGAAAACTGCTCCAATACATTCACATATAGGAGAATATTTGTTTTTCTTTTTAAAACATATAATGTATTAATATTAATAATAAATAATAAGAAATTCTTATAAACATAAGTGCCTGTTTCTAAGTCTAAGTGTTTCTGTAGATGACAAGGAAAGTTAAATTTTTGCTATTTCTCTCTGTACCTTTCACAAAGCACGCCTTGTGAAATTATCACCTGGACTCTTTCACATTTTGTTACAGTTGCAATAATGATAATACATGTTTATGTATTTTACTGTGTTGTATGTAGTAAAATGACATAAAAGAATGCATGATAAAACTTAATTGTTTATGTTACCCATTTAAGACTGGTATATATCACTAACCTTCGAAGGAGCAGCAGGCCTTATGGGGACCAAAGGCTGGCCCTAATGTAGTGGAACCACATTTATTAAGGTTTGGGAGACAATTTAGAGATATGATGTGACTTAACTTTGGCTTAGGGTAATGGTTAGAGTTAACTGATAATTATTAGCGTTACCGTAAATGTCAAGGATTGGCATAGCTAAATTGAATGTAAGTCAATGTAAATTCTTCATATTGATAGAAATAAAAATATGTGCTTGATATGGTCTTATTTTTTTCATTGAAAAACTTTTTAAAAACCAGAATTCACAACGCCTCTCGCCAAATGACTAATGGAAAAATGCAGCAGTCCCTCTGTAATGCTGCATTGATATACACTGATAGACACTGGTACAGTAGAGAGGATGAACAGATGGAGAAGCTGAAATATGTAAAAAGTACGGCATTAGTTTTTAACTCTGATACTTCAAAATCCATGTAGTGAAACCAACTGTTTTCAGAAGACTCAGAATTAGTAAATAAACTGCATGTCTAATCTTTGTATAAGTCCCACTGTTTTGTTAAGGCCTACAGATACTCTTTCATTTTTCTACATTATATCATTCTCAAGTATTAATTTGTAATCTATATTTCAAGTTCTAACTTTATTTATTATCGTATTTTTTATCTTTACATGGTAGTTAAATCTATAGTTGCTACACCAGACCACATGTAGCTTTTTGTGTCTTACTGTATGCCCCGTCTTCCAAAAAAACCCAATCAGTCGAGGTAAATGGCTCATCATCTTGAGCCTGGTTCTGCTGAGGAGAGTTAGGGTAATTCCCCAAGTCACCAATTCAATGAAGTCTGTGGTGTTCCTTAAATAGAAAGCTTTTAACCAATCTGTCTTTATGATTGGATTAAATTAGTGCCTTGAGATGACCAGCGTTGTAAACACGTTACATGGAGAATAAGGAACAAAGGATACAGTTGTGTAGAAGCTATGAAATGAGACCGCAAGCTGAAAACATCTTACAGGTAAAAGTCATTCCATCTTCATCTTTCGAAACTGGAAATGGCATGGAAATAGGAGAAGAAAACTACTAAGACATGGCTGTTCAAGGGGAGCAGTGGTTGTAGTTAGCTAAGCAGACAAGAGACAAACAGCAAAGAGGGCAAAAGGGTTTCTCTGGAGGAGAGGTGGAGAACCACAGCTCAGGTGAGAGGAGCTGTTTACCTGCTAATCACTCAGTCGCCCTACACCTCTGATGGGCAAGAAGAAACTGTGGATATAGAAGCATGAGGACTTTTATTTGCAGTTTTTCACAGGCTATTGATTTAATACCAAATCTAAGGAGAATAACTGCGATTTGTAACTGTTTAAGTCTAAGGAGAATAACAGTGATCAAAACTTTCCTAGTCAAATCTAGACCTGTTTCTTTACATTTCTTACAATTATTTGATCTTATGTGTTAGTCTTTTATATAATGGCTCAATAAAATAAAATGAATTACAGTTAAGTAAATATTATTTTGTACTATTTTCATCTCTTTATTGGACCGCATATTATTTTTGTCTCATAAATATGATTGGCTGCATCTTTCAGGAAATGATGTGCTAATACCTGTTAGTTATGAAATAAAGCAAAGAAAGACATCCTTTTTATACGTTTCCTTTATTCGTCTATGTAATATCACTTTCATATATACAGCGAACTGCAGTTGGTGCAGAAAAAGCAGCGATTAAAGATTTGATCATATGTAAAATGATTAATGATTAACTGATATGAAAAAAAAAACACATTTACAAGAGAAAATGAAAGTTGCACAAATATTTTGCTTGATGCATGAAGTAAGAGAGGTGCAAAAATTACCTGTAAATCTAAAAAATGGACAGTGTTCATTCAAAAAATACCAAACTCTTTTGAAATACATTGGTCTTTTTTTGTGCTGGTACATCATAAAATACAGCATGCAAATGTATTTCCATAGGTTAAAAAGGTTAGTAAGACTCCCTAACTTAACATTAAAGACTCATATATAACCTAAAATTAAAGGAGCAACAAACATTAATACAAGTCTCTTTGCATTAAAGAAGCATTTTATCCTGAATTTAAATTCTAACTTAAAGGGCTTTTATAATAGACAAAAAATGTAAAAGTTGATTTGCAAATCGATCTGTATTTTTACTGGTACTGTTCAAGTACACAATATAATGAACCAGATACATGATGTTTAATATTTCACATGAATAAACACATCTTGGTACAACATTAAATTGCATTATTAAATGCAAGCAAGCATGTAATAGACCACTAGACAGAGTCCTCTCTGTTCCTAACCTCTCCAACCTCTTTGCCAAAGTTATCGCTGCTAGGATTTGGTTGTCTAACTCCCATCCTGACCTTCCTCTCCTCCTCTCTTTTTTCCTTGTCCAGCAGTCGATAGTTAATTCCCATGCCTACAAACAGGAAGACACTGGAGATGATGAGAACAATCCCACAGGCCTGGTATGTGTACTTGTAATCATGGTAGATGTCTTTTAACTTTCCTGTAAAGACAGAGCAAGTCATAATTTACTATTTTGTTTCAGAAATTGTAAATAGTTGAAAAAAAAAATTTCTTAGCAGAATGCATACTTACCAAGCAATGGAGGCCCTAACAATACAGGAGCACATTCCATAATAGTAACCAAACCCACAGCACTTGAAAAGCGCTGGGCTCCAACCAGATCCATCAAGGTCTCAAACAACACTGCGCTCAGCCACCCAAAGGCGAATCCAAAGAAGATGGAATAAATAACAAAGCCTTTGTAGTCAACAGAAATTGGAGCGAGAACATGGCACACACCGTTATATAAGACAGAAATAGCAAAAAAGTACTGTACCCTGGGCCTGATCCACTTAGTGTTAGCCACAATGCCCATCGAGGGCCGAGCAACCATGTCAACAAAAGCCAACACAGACAGAAGAAATGCTGCCTTCTCTTTGGGGATTTCTTTACTTTTTGCATAATTAGAAAGAAACACCAGTGGAGTAAATAGGCCAAACAACATGACAACATTGCCCATGATGTAGAGTAAAAATCCCCGATGCTTAAACAAAGTGAAGTCCAGGAAGCTGTTAATGGTCTGCACTACACTCTTTCTCTCAGCTGTCTTTTCTGCAGGTTTGGGTTTTGGTCCTATTGGCCTCATAAGCGAACCAGCTACACAGCAATTAAGAAGCAGGCCGCCCAGGATCAGAAAACTTCCTCTCCAACCAAACTGATCATAGAACCAGGTGTTAAGAGGAGCCAACGTAGACAGAAAAACAGGACTGCCAGCCATGGCAATCCCGTTTGCTATTGGTCGTCTCTTGAAGAAGTATTTTCCTATCATAGTGAGGGCTGGGTTGAGGTTAAAGGATAATCCCATACCTAAAAAAATAAATAAATAAAAAGCATGTAAACAGCTGATTTTTTAATTGACTTTAATTGAAAATATAGCAAAAAACAAAAAAACAAAAGACCAACCTCCCATTACACCAACACAAAAGTAAAGTGCTTCAATTGAGTTGCAGAACGAAGCAGCAACAAACCCAGTTCCAGACAGGAGTCCTCCAACCATCATAACAGGACGACTCCCAAATTTGTTCACCAGGATGCTGCTGATAGGACCTGAAAATATTATTTAAAAAAGGACACAAAACTATTAATAAAAGACATTCAGTTTTGAAACCCAGATCTTATGTATGTTCCAAATTCCTCCACCAGGGGGCTCTATTGCCACATTAGTGTTTTGGCAAATTTAAACAGCTTCCTCTTCTGTTGCTGTGAGTGCATCACAGCAAAAGATGTGTTTTCATGTCGTTGGTAATGTGATCTGTCAGAAAACTACAAACACCGCGTTGGAACAATTTAAGCAATACCATGGATCATACAAAATGAAATTATCTAGGAATTTTTTACTCTCTTGGATTTCAAATATTAAACTCTTTAGACAAGTTAGTGTGGGAATGAGATTGTGTGTCTTGGACTTGAGTGTGAGGGGGTGGGGGTGATCACTGCTCTGCACAAGGAAGATAAAAGAAATACTTTTTGCCCTTTTGGCATTTTTTGCACCTCACACTGAAAGGCTGCCTTAATGAGAAATATGTGGAATAGCTTATCAAAATGCATGCCAAATTCAAAAGAAAGAAAAATCTATGAACATTGCTATAACTTGCAGACAAATGACTAGAATGCGTCTAGAGTTGGGATAGCAAACCACTATCTCCATCTAACACTTATACCAATGAGCCTAAATGAGTACGAGGATCCGCATGGAAGACAGTCGTGCCTTCCTGCCAAATCCCTGCAGTCCCCAGTGAAGCTAAATGGAAACTGACAGTTTTTGTTTAGAGGTTGTCCAAACTCATTTACCAGCACGTTGCGAGACAAAGGGTTTTTAAATTGTAATGCAGGCCATCTCCATGCAAACAATGAGTTCCTTCCTTCCACTTTTCAGAAAGGGTTGCTTAGGGCATAAAGGTTGGGTAAGAACCAATGTAGAATATTATGAATGTGATGAATCAAAAATTAAGAGAATAGAAAGATGTATAACAGTATGCTGTTACTGAACTTCTCCTGTTGATTAGATGAAAATATCCAGATAACTATACATACTTGAACAGACTAACCTCACATCTGCTCACAGCAGAGAAAAAAAATTCTCACCTTATTCTCACTTATAATACAATGCAAATGTTTATGTTACATCCGGAAATTAGATTGGATCGTCACTGTCACTCCTAATTTGATAGACTGATAGACTTGAATGTCTATGATGTAACCATTAACCTCTTACCTCATGACCACTGAAACAGTCTATAGCCCCCTGCACCTTAACAATGATTGAGTTGGTATAGAAAATGGATGGACTAAGTCATTATGGACAGATTGGAGTAACATCACATGGAGCTATCAAAACTTAGATTGAGAAAATGCTTCTGCAGAATAAAAAATGTTGTGAGTAATAAAGCCCACACTAGATATTTTTAGTTCTAGCGACATCACGAAAAATTATTTACATCCAACAAAAGGTGAATTACAGTCTGTTGGTCAGGAATGGTTTTCTGGCTTGAGCAAAAATTCTTAATTTTATTTTATTTCTTTATCATAAACTAGGGAAGATGGACTTAGACGTGGATATATTTACTGTGACTCCCATCTGTTGCACTACAGACTTTGCTCTGGCCTGTCATGTTGAAGGACAAATTGCAAACTTCTCAGGTTTCCTACTACATCTACTGTGTGTTCCAAAGCTCACCTATGAGAGGTCATAAGATATAGATTAGGACCAACACAAGGATATGTTAGATCCAAGCAGCTGGATTCAACCTTAGAGACAGCCTGGAGCTCTGTCACCTGGTGAGGAGATTGAAATAGAGCCACCTCTCCTCCACATTAAATGACTCATTCTTGGTATATCTGGAATCCTATCACTGTGACTTACATATTTATTTTGGTTGGTTTATAATTTTGTGGTTTTAAACAACTGTAGATATTTTCCTGTATATCAAAAAGCGCTGAAACTCACATTGTCTAAAAGGAACATTGTCACACTGTGACAACGTCTATTGGGGCAAAGGTGCTTCCTTAACAGATGAAGATCATCTCTCAGAACAGCTTAGTAACAATTGTTTGACTGAGACTTTTCCATCCAGATAGGCAAATGGACTCAAAGCATCTTGGTTCTGTAGGAGTAAAAGGTTAAGTTTGCAAGGAGGGTCATTTGTCACAGCACAGGTGCCACGGCATGCAAAGACGAGAGGTGTCAGAAATATTATTGTATATTACTCAAGTAGAAGTATAAATCCTACTGTTTAAAAACACTTTTGTAGAAGTCAGAGTATCAGCTTAAATGTTTACTCAAGTAAAAGTGTAAAAGTACAATTTTTAAAGCTAATTAAAGTAAAAAAGTTAAAGTAGTGCAGGGATTTTTTAAAAGATGGATGTTTAAAACCTGCGCTATCCTATGAAAGGAACATTTTCTGAATGATAACTTCCTTATACTTCATTTTCTTAGTTTTATAACTAATGGTAACCGTGTCAAATTTAACTTTAGATCATTGTGAATATCAATTTACTTTGTTATGTGGCCAACAACAAGTTGGGGCAGCACAGAGTCCAACCACAAAGAAGTACATTTTCAGGATGTAAAAAATGTATTTGATGGTTTTTATTTTTTTTTTTTAAATCAACAGGCCATAACAAAAATAGGTTTAAATGAAGCAAAACTAAGGAGTCTATTTTGAAAATGTAAGGAGTAGAAAGTAGAGATAATTGCTAAAGAGTAGAGGTAAAAGGTTGTCTACAAATTAATTCCTCTAGTAAATTATAGATATACAGAATGTCTTCTTAAGTAAGGTAATAAAGTATATGTACTGTGTTGCTTGACACCTCTGGTAAAGACATGTGAGGAGCTATAAAAAAAGCTTGGATTTATTTATTTTTATAGGTAAAATGTGTTGATATCTTTCTGTGACGTAAAAAGGCAAATCAAACAGTCTTATAGAATAACACCGTACATGCTTACCACTGCCTACGTGTTGCTTTGCACCCACCTGCAAGGGAAACTAGATGCCAAACACTAAGAAGCATTGATTTCTTAAAGGATTTCAACATCATGATTACATTGAACAGTAATGAGGCCTTACAATGAATGAAGTGTTTCAGTTGTTTGTTGTTTATAATACACATTTGGCATAATTCATTTTGTTTTCAGTGTTTTGCATTTTTTCAGACTGTACTTCTAAATCAGATTAAACTTTTTATGCTTGAGGTCTCTTACTAGGATTTGCAAAATCAATTATGTAGAATAAATGCTTAAAAGAATTCTGTTACATTTGTTAGAGAAATATTAAATGGTTTGTTTAAAATAAAACTTTTACATATTAGAAGGTTGTTAAAGGCTACATTTACAATTTAGGTTAAAACCCAAAATGATGATGGTCCTATATTATAAGCTTCTAACAGGTCCATCTAAAACATTAAAATTATTAAAATGGAAGAAACCTGTGGATAAATGTATGCAGAACTTCTTACAAACAACATTCTTCTATAATACATTGGAAAACAAAATAAATATATACATTGAAATAAAAAGTCAAGGGATACATTCTCAAGACTGCTAAATCTACTTTCCAGATACCTGCTTTAGGTTCTTTATATAAGGGTAAAAGATGAGGGATTCACCCAGATATTAATGTTACTAGGTTTAAAATGTGTGCTAACAGGCTACTCAAGAGCCTTGACTAAAAACAATTATCATTAAAACAAATATTACATTTTGCAAATCTACTTAGGGACAAATACCTTATCTTTTTGGAATATTTTTTCCTTTCCTGATGACAGTTTGAAGTTGTTGGCCATAATATCTATTGTTGCATTTGGAGGAATGAGAGTAGCTTATGAGCTCAGAACAGTATCCCATGATGCGTGACTGTGGCACATCTTGTTAGTGTTTTACTGCAGAGGGACTGGTTCACTTCCAAAAATAGATGATATTATAAGGAAAGAACAGGATGTGGTAAAGTTGATGCCACATCTCAAGACATTAGTCAGGAACTCAAAGCTTCATCAGAAATGTCTCTCAAAGGGCTCTGAGCATAAAGCCAAGGTTAATCAGCTTAAGGACAACAATTACACTGTTCTGGAGATATTCGTGGAAATAGATGGTGAGCTTTGTGGAAGAGAGGCAGCTTACAAACCTGGTACTGCTAAACCACTTCTGTAAGGATTATTGGAGCAAAATTATATCAATTTATTGTGAAAACTTGAGAATGGATGAACAGCTTGTTTCATAATTTTTTCGGTAATTCTACCAAATACCAATTTATCTAAACGTATGAATTTAAAGAAAGTAACAGAAAAATTTTTGTTTGTGGCTTAGCAAATGAAATAACTTTGAGAATCTTGTATCTAAAATGTTTTGTCTGATTTAATGTGTAAGTTTATGGAAAGGTGAACTAAATATCTTTTTTATTGTGAATGCAAAACTAACCTGAAAACAGAAGCTCAAAACTGGTGATTTATCCTGTTGATTTGTACTGCATCCCTCATGTAAACACCTTGGAGGAAAGCCCCCATTTTGGGGACCAGTGTTCTAAAATATCCTTCTTTTTTTGTAGGTGTACAGTGTACAACACATTATTAGAGATAATGATAGAGTTTGGATTTGGGAACCATGTGGGACAATGAAATCTCCTTTGAACTCCACTCTGAGTACATGAATAGACTCTTATCACCACTCAATGGACCAGAAGGTTGTGACATCATCCACCTTCTTATTCATCTCATCAGCAGCAGCAGCAGAGCCAAACTTCCTGGTGGTCTTCCACTCTCAAAGCACAACAGAGAACAATGGCTATACAAAGCAAGGCCTATTCAACTGCTCAAGAGACAGATAGTGTTGCAAAAACACATCAATGTTGTAGCTGCAGTGTTTTTTTTTTCTTTCTCGCAGAATAACATATTTATTAGTTTGGTCTGTTGTATGAGTGCGAGAATTAGATTCTCCTTTGTCCCTAAATGATAGACCTGTCCAAAAGGCTGCATTTCTCCAAAAAGTAAAGAAAAAAAAGATAGATTGACTTTTAACTGAACACAGCATGAGTAAATCTTTTACACTCATGCTAAAAGCAAGGAATTGATTCAGTTGATCTTCCTGATGGGCTAAATGTCAAGTGTTATCAACGGCCTGTGATGTGGGGTGCAGCTCACCTCCGCCGTATGTGACCGCTAACATGATGGAGGAGATCCAAGACACCTGGCTGCTGCTCGCATTGAAGATCACTTCGATTTCCTTGAAGAAGACGGTGATAGACTTGGCAGTTGCATAGGAGAAGCCAATAGAGATAAAGGCCCCAATCACCACCAGCCAACCCCAGCCACCCTCAGGTGGTGGGTAGCCCTGAGGCCCCCCGATGGCAACTGGCATTTTTCCTTAAATACAAAAGTCTGCTGAGGGAAGAGAAAAAAATACAGTAGTGAAGTTAGAGTTTCTTTTAAATTTGTGTTTAAAGTAAATGTTTTTGGAAAAAAAGAGAATGTGTGCAAATCCCCTCACGGTTAATCCTTTCTGATAGTGAGAAGATAAATGTACATCGGCTGATTGCATCTAACTGTAAAACCTTGCGCTGCTTCATGCATTGGTTTCACCACTTCACTTATTGGGAGTGAAACAGTTTTATACAGTATATGACATGAGATAAAGTTTGGCTTTGTATTTGATGCTTTGTCAAGCAGATTATTTTTACCAAGATTAAAACATTTTATTAGCATATTTGCAGAAAAACATGATTTGGGGTCCAGTTTATACCAATATAGCCCACAAGATCAGGTTATATAATTCTAAAACATGAAATTTGTTAAAATGGGAAAAAAATGCAACACATTTCTTTAAATAAAATGAATAAATTTGCTACAAAGCATAGTATCCTGTTGATTGGATTTGATAAAGCTCAGTTTAATATTTATTAAATTGTTTAAATTGAGGGTCCGATTGACAAGCTGTCAGCTTTTTACCTCTAAGAGAAATTATTCACTTTTCTAACTCTAATATGGGCTCTTTCTATTGTAGGAGTCAGTATATCGACTTCCTTTAAAAAGCCCCAAACACTTGTTACTGATTATTATGTTAAATTTAAAAGAACATTTCCCCATTATTTCAGTGAAGCGTTATCATGTAAAGCCTTTTTAGTCATTTTTATATGGGATGTGCGCTGGTAAGGCATGAATCTTTTTTTTTGTTATTTGCAAAGGCCCTTTTCTTGTTGCAATTAAATTAAATTACTACACGGCTATTAATGTTGTATTTTATCTTAAAGCAGGTTCTTTTTGCATCCCTGCTCTGCTGGTGGTTCCTGTGTTAAACAAATCTAGGACATTTTCTTTTTCAATTACTTACTCGTCTGGGTCAATAAAAGAGTTTAAGATTAAGCGTAAAGTTTCTGGTTTTTCCTTTGCTTGAATTGCTCTCTACATGAGTTTACTGAGCTCCCAGCCACTGATCTCCCAACAGTTTTACTTTAGAGGAGATGAATAACAGTGTATCTACAGAGTGGTAAAAGCTTACTGTATTGTTTACACGGGGGGCAGACTGTACAAAGAGTACATTGATCAGACCATGAAAACACGTTCTATTCACACTGCTCCATAGCTCAGGGCTTAGCTCTAAAGTGGGTGATAATATAGCGTTTTTCAGGCGAGCAGGACTTGATTTGGTTGATGAATTGGTTTAGTGCTCTGAAAACTTATTGGATAAGCCGTTCTTGTGCAGCAAGTGGTGAATATTTAATGTGTAGAATAACTTTTGTTATTGAGCTGGGATTTTAGCTGCAGCTGTGCGGCTGTAATTGTGCCTCTAGTGCTGTTCTACAGATACATAAGTGGGAAATAAAAATTAAAACTCATTGTATCTCTCTTAGTCATTCATTATGGATAAAATCTTAAAATCATGTAGTATACACTTGGGTGAATGTTTTTAGATTTGCATATATATTGCTTGAAGCCAACATTATTTAACATTAAGTGGTGGCGCCTGTTTTAGGCTTTGCATGTAATGATTTGTTTGCCTTTTTGTGTTTTAATAGAGAAACTGAAAGCTGTCAGCTGGAGCTTTATGTAAGGTTGGATCATTAACATTATGTGTCTGACTTTATGTCTCATTAGGTTCCCTTTAGCTTTAAGATCAGCAATATGCATTTTGCTTATGGCTGCATTTAGTACATTTCTCTAGGAAAATAACAATGTCACACATGCAAAAAATTATCCTTTATAAATAAATAATGCCTAGATGTTTCATTTTTGAGTTCTGAGTAATTTAACACCAGCAGTCTGTATACAACTTGTATACAATGTGTCAAATCATATAAATCAGGGATTTGCTGTGTTTGAATCACAATGAATAAAGATCTATGTATGTATAGATTTTTACATTTTTTTAATAAAATAAAGGTTTTTAGTTCACTGTAAGTTGGCAACATAATTTTTATATGAATAACATTGTAGAGGCCTTATACTTCTTATACGGGATTATTTGAACCTTTGGTAAAAGTGTCTTAATAAATTAACATGGTAAAAGTTAAAGGTGATTAGATGTATTCCTATAGCGTGCTTTATTATTGGATAAATAATGACTTAACAGCACTTGTCCTTCTTTGTAGTAACATATTTTTGTACACACTTTTCAAACATGCTAGGTTTTCAAAAGAGAGGCATTTAAAAAAGATAATGGGTTCAAAGATATTTTGTGGAATCTACAAACTAAATGAACTGAAGGTAACTCTACTCTGTATTACCTTTCAAACCATTTGTGTTTTAGAGCAGATTTTGACTTTGATTCTTACCTTTATTAAATAAAAGATGTAGATGTTTCAGGTTTTGATTCACCTCCGTCAGTTTTCTTTGAAATCTGCAAAATCATAAGAAAGAAAATGTTTAAATGTTTCCATTCTGTGAACTGAACACCACCAATATTCAGCTTGGCTTCAACATATCAACTGTCTGCATGGAAAATGTACTTTTTTTTATTTCCAGTAAACTGTGTTTTATTTTTTTCTCACTAAAGATCCATCCTCAAGCTAAAAACTGTCTCAAATAGTACGAGCTTCATGTTAGCCAGGTAGAAGAACAAAATAAGCCCTTAATAAAGCAGTGAAAGTGGCAGCGTGAGAGAGCTCATCACAACACACAGACCACTTAAATATTGTTACCGATAGTTTAGGTAAGTTTACTTAACATTTGCTCTGTAAAAGTTTAATCAACTTCCAATACCCTAATGGGAACCCCTTTTTTAAACATTTTTGTCAACAAAACAGTTTGTACTAAAATCGTTAAACAAATGCATTGTGACTATTGTGATCATCAGTTATTTGAGCCTTTATGTCTTAAACCATCCCTGCTTCTCCAAAGACTGGACTTCTGACTGAGTCTAGTCCTGCTTTACAAAATGCTTGTTGTCTAGGTAAAGACTTATGTCTTAAACTTTTTAACTAAACAACATTTTTGACAGATCAGCACCAGTAACGTTCAGTAAAATCTAGGAGTTCCATGCTGAAATATGATTATTTTAGTGAAGTACAGCTTCTTCCCTGCAGCCATGCTCTGGGCCTCCTCTAAGCATATGTTTCTTATATGAAGTATTAAAGTTCAGAAATCAAAAATTCATAGATGAGTAAAATGCCTTAAATGTGCTCAATCAAATTAGCCAAAACATTTACATGGCAACAGAAAAAAAGTTGAACACTTCATAATGAATCATACATTTTCAGTTGAAAAAGTAAATTAAGAGTTTTTTCAAGAAACTTATGCAAAGTGTCTGTGTGGAGCATCTTACCTTGGCAGGAGCTCTAGAAAAAGGACAGAACAGCTCCACAGAATAACCCTCAAGGCTCTTTAATTCAAAGCAGACATAACTGAATATGACTGAGTAGATTTGGATATGGATAAAAAAAAAGAAGATTCACTGCATATGTTTGACAGATTGGTTAGAAGGAATCTGTGGGTCTGTATCTACTATGACAGAGCAAAAGTTGCCAGAGGCACCTTAGCGCCAGCTTCAATCTATTTCCAGTGAGTAAAGTAAAAAAAAAACTGGAGTTCTCTCAGTGACCAGATCAAACAGTGTGTTGATCTGGACACTATAGTGCTAAATGAGAGGGTCAGTCATTCTTATTGGCCGTGGGAGACTTAGTGCCGTGCCCCTTTACAAAGCTTTCTCCACCCCTCTGTCATGTGCTTGTTCAATGGCAAGGTCAAAATAATCCACTACAATAATACTGTATGTGGGGTCTGAGGAGAAAAAAAACAAGTTTGCATAAAAAAAAAAAAAAAGAACTTAAATGCCTTCAAGAAGAAGAATTATTATAGGCAAATCTATCAATTATATGCACACGAGCATTAGAAGCTTTAACTTAAATAAATGAGTTTATTTCATAAACAACAGACATTGTTAACTTCAAGCACCCGAAGAAAGACCATTGAACACTAAAGGGGTCAGTCCTGGTTGAACTTTCCTGCCTAGATCCCTTTGGAGCTGCTAATAATTCCATACCAGGACATGAGAAAGAAAAAAGCTTTAGTAGAGGCAATCACTACAACAGTATGTATATATTAGCTGTCATCAAACCATTTTAAAAGAAAGTTTTTCTTTTCTATATTGTCCTACGAGATTCATATCATCCACAAATGTAAGCTATAAATACTCCCCCTTTTACACTTTAATTGATGTTTCTCAATTATATGATATCTAAAAAGACAGAAAGACACATATTATCCCTGAATTATTTACTAGCGCAGCTGCTTTAAATAATGAAAAAAAACAACAACTCAAAATTGGGATTTCAGAGCCAGAAATTCAGCTCAAAGTCATTTTATTATGTGAATAAAAAGTCTCTTTTGTGTCTAATCCTTCTTCTTTCATGTTTTCACTTTTTACAGAACATCTGCAGACCAAGAAGCAGTTTAACTACAACTTGTTTTAATTAGTTTCATATCTTTCCAGTCAATTTTCTTGACTCCACCTTCTTTATTACTGATGCTCTTTGAAAAGAAAAGTGTTGGCGAATATTTCATCATGATCCCAACTGCTTAATCAGATTGGTACCAAACTTATTGCAAACAGGAATTACTTTTTTGAAGCAGAATCTATAAGTTTTACCTTAGAAAACTACAAACATCTTGCAGCTAAAATATTTAAAATATCAGGTAGTTATACAATATATTTTACAGTGCCATAAAAATGCAATTTGTCACCTTATATTATTCTTAAGGTTTTTTTTTTTTATAAATGTTGTTTTTGTCACATTAAATTGCTTCAGATCCGAAAAATGTTACTATCAGTCCAAAATAACCAAATCCAAAATAAAATTTTCAAACAATGGTTAAGGGAATGAACTAATGGCGCTCTTAAGACCTTTAGAGCAACTTTTGGGCGAATAAATATGCCGAAGTGTTTGCATGAATTGCCAACCCATCTGTCACATCACTATGGAGGAATTTATGTCCACTCTTCTTCACCGGATTGTTTGAATCAGCCACATAGGAGTTTATGACAAACCATCTCAATCAGATTTCTTAATGAACCCCCTCCCATAGGTTGATCAATCCAATTTTAATTGATTCAGAAATTAACTTTCTTGTATTTTGGATCATTGCTCTGCCGCATTCTCAAGCAAGCTTTAGTTTTATGAGAAACATGGAAAGCGGGATATTCTTCAAAGATTTGCTGATGAAGGTTCTCAGTCATCCAGGTCATAGTCATTCCGTAAAAATTCAAAAAATATCCACTGGACTTGGTTTTCAAGATTTGAAGACGTTTCGCCACCTCTCCAGGAAGCTTTCTCAATTCAAATGTCTTCAAAGAATCTTCAAAGATTTGTTTTGCAGAGAGCAGAATAAAATGTAAATGTTAGATGAGCCTGGTCGTGCCTTTTGGTGCTTTGTGTCTTTGGCCTTCAAATTCTCTCATAGGTATAATTTTTCAAGTTTCTTTCTTGTTAAATCATGGACACTGACCTTTACTGAGGCAAAAAAGAAGGGCTGCGATGATTTAAATGTTGCTCCGGGTTTTTTTTTTTTTTTTTGCTACACTGATTACTTGTCCATGTCCCTGTAAAGTAATTTTGTAAGCAGCCTAGTAGTGGTTCAGCATTATGCCACACATTTTCCCTCTCCTTTGCTCAGTGGTGTCTGTGGGCATTACAATTGACTGTGTACCCTAAAGGGAATGATGTCTATAACTTTGTTTGGTGTTGATGGAGGCTTTTTGAGTTCTAAATTTAAGCTGCTTCGTATGTCAGGCACCTTTTTTAGGTAATTTCTTGATTTTTTTAGTTCTGGTACTTACAGTACTAATCCTGAGTTTGACCTATTTATAAAAAGAAATCAAAAGGTTTATAATGCAAAACAGGTAGATATCTATTTTTGTTGTCTTCAATTGAAGGGCATTCTTTATTTAAAGTTAATGATGGAGAAAGTTTAAGCCTTAAAGCTATCTAGGAATTGTCCTATTGCAGATCAGAAGTCATTGGAGGATTGGACTCCTCAAACATAGCATAAGCATCACGCCTTTTCAGTTTCAAACCAATTTAAACCTTTCTGTTGAGGCAATCTAGCATCTGGAGATCAGTGCTTCTGAAACAGCTTTAAAGCTTGGAAGGTCTTCCTTGCTTGCTCTGAATTGAGAAAACTCTTTGGCAGAATAAATGAATGTCCATAAGTTTATTTATTCGTTTTTTAATAAACTTCTTTGGAGTTAACAAATCCTGGACACCTTCAATAGAAAGCTGTGATTTTGCCAAACCAGTTAATTATAAACCAACGTATGGTTTATAACTGTATGGTTAGGTTTAGATTAGTTTGTTTTTTTTGATAAGCCTAAAACTTTAATATTACGTAGTAAACAAAAACAGAAGAGAAAAATGACTCAACAGCACTGTAGCTTTAAACATTTTCAGTTGTTGTTGCCATTTTATAATTAATTCTCTTTCTTTAATATATAAAGCCATTCTTTTCTGGCCCTTTTTACCTTGCCATTTCACTCCTTTCCCAAATGTGAACTCTGCATAATAATTAGATCAGCCTCTCTCCTTCTCTGCAGATCCTCTGTTAAAGTAAAAGCACTCTCTGTCATCTACCTGCTGAGTAGGGAAACAGTATCTGCCTGTTTTACCATGGGAGTCGCTCTCTTCTGTCTAAGGGGCATTGACATCAACCCCCTCTCAGCATATCCCGGGAAATCTGCTCATCTGTGTCTACGTGTCAGGCAACCTGTCGCTGCTGTGGGAGTGGATTCTTCCAATCCTATTGTACATACAGTGAAAGACCAGAGAATAATTCTAATTGTTAATAGGGAGGTGGTTAATCTGGGCTTTATGTTTGTCTATAATCAGGTCTTACTGATGGCTAACAGACGTGCAAGACCAGCAGAACTCATATTTGCTTAGACAGAGTGCAAAAATATGCAAAAACTAATCTCTTCTTTATTTTTACGGACTTTTACTGTTTACCACAGTAAAAGCATAGATTATTCCATTTATGCATGTATTCATACATAAATAAATGCATATAAACAGTATTTGCAACTTCTTTTGTGGTAACCAAAGCATTAGAAGAGCTCCTCGCAAATAAAAAAAACAACATTTTCACACATAGTGTATTTCCATGCTACAAAATAACAGTGTTGGAGAAAAGACGGCGGTTTAGTCACAGCTTTACGAACCACTGCTATAAAGAACCTTATTCATTGTCAAAGGGATTAAAATTGATTAGTTCAGCCTTGTGAAATCCAGCTCCTATGCAGTAAAATAAGCTGCAGCAAAACTGCTATATGTTCTCAGTCAGTGCTTCCTCAGACAGTACAGTACACCAGAATTTCTTCTCTTCCTTCCTGTGATAGCTTTTCCTAACCTGCAACCATTTTTCCATCAGTATGCCTTGGTTCCTGTTTTCATATCCATTCATCATTACTACTACAGCATATACATTATGTACTCTATAAAGAATGTAGTCCAAAAATGTTCAATAGCAGTGACAGATGACAAAGCAAATGTGTGCAGGACTCATTCTCAACCTCTTCTATAAATGTTTCACCTAAGATAGGTAAAAAAAAAAATCTTCAAAAGAAGGCCACAAATTTTTCAGAGCACTGGCTGTGAGTGAGCAAGCATAAACTCAGGTCAGTGTTGTTGCTTCTCACTCTTATGCAGATTCTGGAAGATTGATTGATCTATCGACTGATCTATCGACTGATCTATCGACTGATCTATCGACTGATCTATCTATCTATCTATCTATCTATCTATCTATCTATCTATCTATCTATCTATCTATCTATCTATCTATCTATCTATCTATCTATCTATCTATCTATCTATCTATCTATCTATCTAAGATGTTGTTTTGACACAGAACTGTCCTTTGAATAAATGCTGACTACAAACACCTTCATATAATGTTTGATATTGTGAGAGTATGTTTTCCTTCTGTGGAGCGTCCCTTTAAACAACAAGTCTGGAAAAACATGTCTCAATTCTACTAATTGCATTTGAAATGTTGCTACAATTTGTCATAATAATTAGACAGATAAGTCAAGAAAAACCTTGGCTCTGGGTCCGTTCACCCTTTTCCCGATACATAGCCCTATTTCATCACTTTCTCAATCTGTTTTGGGCTGAAACTCAGTCGTTTTTAGCAATGAGAATAGATATTTAGAAACAGCTCAGAGTTAATGCCAAAATCAAATAATTTTGTGCATGTATCTGTTAAGATAAATCTACTTTATTTCAATCCTTTTAAGCTAGTCAACTAAACAAAATTTGACAGGTTATGAGTCCTTATACAATCCAAAATTCACTTTTAACTTGATACATAATAGATGCATAAATCCAGAGTTACTGCATTTAACAAAATTGTAGTATCTTGGCTCATCTAGTGAGCACACTGTGTCTGCTACTTTATCAGATGAGCAGCAGAGCATTGCTGGAGCATTTCCTACCTTGGGCAGAAGCATGTTTATTAGTTTTGATTATATGATTTATTTTGATCCAGAGAACTAAATGTACTTAGACACGTTTTAGCTTGTTGCTCTAAATCAGTGGTATGTTTTTATTTTAGTCAAGGTGAAGCCATAAATCTGAAAAAAAAAAAACAAAGA